CTTGCCAAACAAATGCCTTTATGAGGTGTTTGAAATTTAAATGAAAGGGTAGGAAGTTCATTTGGGACTGGGGTGGTTACAGATGTCTCTCTTGAGCCCCCGAGTCAAAGTAACAACCTTTAAAATGACACAAAGGAGCTAAAAAGCAGGAGACGTGGAAATAAAACAAAACCTCAACAATTTCTTGGTGGTCTTATTCTTGTTCTTTGTTGCCAGATGAAGCTCAAAATGCAGTTTCTTCCAACCCCAACCCACAGAGCTGTTCTTCCTTCCCAATAAGTGTGTGCCTGTTGGATTGTTTGAAACATCTGTGCACAAAGCAAACAAACAACAACAAAAAGACTTTCTCAGTGGTGGACAGCGTATTTGTCCATGGGCACAAAGCGTCATCCATGTGGAGAATGTATTCTTTGGTAATCTAAAACTGGCAGTGCTTTAAAGAGTACTTCCATGAAACTATATCTTCTTCATCTGGTGCGGTGAGGAATGCGAGGGTAAGCATTAGATGAGAAGAGGGACAGTAGGGGTTTGAAGAGTGGACATGCATGTAAATGAAGGAGAAAAAGCACTTAAAAGGTACACTTTGGTGCACAAATACGATTCCGTCTCTATAATCTTTGGAAAGCCCATTTTAGGAAAATAAATATCTTGTAATGAGAGGACTGTTAATACTTACAAATTTAATTACCGACATAATAAACTCTTCATATTTACATTAGAAGCCTTTTACTTTTGGGACTTCAGCCCAGATATCAATCAGTGACAGAGGGACGCAAGCCCGGGGACTTAGGATAACAATCAAAAGCACAACAGGAGTGACCTCTTAGTGTAAACCAACAGGGTCATCTTGTTGCCAGACGCGAAATCCAGAACCCTTGGCAGGAAATCCACCGTGTGCTGTTGACATCGCAAGTCATCTGTGACAGACAAGGAATAATACTTTCGGAGAGGAAGAGTTTGGAGGGGGAAAACAATGGAGTCCAACATAGACACTGTGCTGTCACTGGAAAATACAGCTTTCAGGCATGATACTAAATCTTTTGTACATTAAGGAAAGGGAAAGCACTAAAAACAGAGATGAAAAATATGCATCAGTTATAAAATATAAACTTATGAGCTAGCAATTTCTCTGTCTTAATATGATAATAAATTCTATTTTAAATTTGTATGCCTCTTATTTGCTGCAGAGACGTACAAATTATACTTGTCTAAAATGTCACTTTTGATTGACACCATAATCAAGAATTTAATCATATTAGTCTCTTTATAGTCATTCACCAGCCGTGCTACCAACAATATAGGGCATTATAAAGAAGAAAGTCATTGTAATTGGTCTCATTAAAAATGCCCCAAAGCATCCCTTTATTCTTTATGTTTCAGCAGCACACCGTGCAGGAGTACGGTTAGTTTTAACGTCCATAATAAAGCGTAAAATGAGCCTGTAGTTTGCCTTTGGGGGGCAGTGAGGAATAGTAGCTCTGAAACTGTGTGCACAGCTGGTTTCAGGTTTTAAGTGTAAATCGGACCATCTTAATGAGAAACTCACTTACCATTTGATCAGCGTGCAACAGGGAAATCAGGAATCGCTAAATTTATGACCATTATGGGCCTTTGTTAATGGATGTGTAGCAGAGTCAAATTCAGTGTTCAGCGAGGAGAGATGTGGATGGACCTAAGAATCTTTCGTTTCTTTTCTTGGACAATGTTGATTTTGGCTGGATGCAAGTTTCTGATGTTGGCTAGACACTGGGAGAGCAGACTCGGGGTGCTTCCTTCACATTCTCACACACATTTGGATGGGAAATGTGTGTTGGCAAAGTGACAGAATACTAACAGAAATCTGATCCACTGTGGAAAAAAAACCAGTCATTCTATAAGAAAAGGTCATCAGCCAGAAGTCTTAACGCAATGGAATATCTAGTAATGATAAAGTTTTATTCTGTATATACCTTATTTGCACATGAACAAAAACTTTTTTCTTTCCCAGGATTATAAACATTGTTCTTTTTTTCTATTGTACATTTTTTGTTTTAACATGACTCACTCTGGAAAATCAAGTGTAACATACTAAACCACAATCAAGGGAGACTGACAGAGAGGCCCACTTAGACCCATCTGAAGCTGAGACTGTCGAAGTACTTGGTGGCCTGCCGTAAAAAACAAAGGCAGAGAAAGACTGACCGACAGGCCCATCAATCATCTGCCAGACTGGCAGGAAGGTAATAGACACGCATACACACAAAAGGTTCCAGAAATAAAAAGGCCAACCCACACGATCCACACCAAGAGCACCAACAGAATCAAAAACACTTCATATCACATCTAGAGTACATTATTCCTGAGGTGACAGCATCTGATTTTAGCACTTAAGAGTAGAATGAAACATCTGGATGGCTGTGGAGGTTATGTTCTTTCTCCATTGTTTTCCATGCATCTCTAAAGGGATTCTGCTTAAGCGTTTCATCAGATCAAATTACTTCTTTGAGCAAAGCGACTGAATCACCATGCCAGCATTTTTAGCTAAATAACTACATTTCATGTATACTTCAGAACATTTAATACTAGAGTTACTACACTACCAACTGTTTTGCAGTTTTGTTAACACTTGCATGGACATTGGTTTGCATTCATTAGATCATTACATTAAGTAAGTATCAAGTTTCTTCTATTTTATATTCATACAAACGCATGGAAACTAACTGCTGTCTGTAATGTAGGGGTAAGACAAGACAAATAACTACAGCAATACTAGCTGCTTTAAGATAATATATTGTAGAGCGATATCTTAAGCTAACTGCTAACACTAATATGCAGCATGCTCACAGTCACCATTGTATCATGCTAATGTTGGCAGGTATTGTGTTTACCATGTTCCTTTGTGATTTCCTGTGTTATAACTGTAACATTTCCAAATTACTAATAAAAACAAAGTATAGCCATATACGGTATATAAATGACTGATTAGCCAACACTATATGACCCATTGGTTTATAAGGTCCTGCTTCAAATCAGTGACAGAGGGACACATCATGTCCATCAGAAATAAATAAATAAAAATAGTTTTTTTTAAGCCAAATATTACCATATTTGGACAAGGACGTAAATGGCTAACCATAGGTGCATGCACGGACAGTGCAGAAGTATCATGCATACATGCAATAAATATACAAATACAATAGAGTGAATTTCACTCACTGACTGGAGCACAGACAGCTGCTAGCACAATTAACTGCATTATTTGTCAGGCAGTTGCAATAAAAATGCCTCTATAGGGCCCAACACTGCAAAGATGTTTGATCGTCCCAGGCTGACTCCAGTAAAGATGAGATGAGGCCTTAGTGGATAGTTTGTCAGTGACAAATTATCACATAAAGCGCCATGCCTCCAAATAACAAACTGAGACAGGGTTTGAAAGGGTTTGCCAAAAGAAAAGTCAAAAGGCATTTTAGGGGACAAGCACACCAATGTAGTATTCTATCTATTTTATTTATTGAATTTTATTGTTTTATTTATATTTTGATATTGCTAGGGATGATGCAATGATCGGGGACCATTCTTAATTTCGTTGTTCTCATGACAATGACAATAAAGTTTCTGATTCTACCCATCCAGTGGCTAAAGCCCATTAATGAATGGTGCAAAAGGAAGTGAACTCAGTAAAGACTATGCCCATGATGCTTCAGAGTCCAGTTCAATCTAATCACTGTGGATATTTATTGGTAAAATATTTACGTGAGCTCTTAAAGTCAAAAGACCAACAAAGCCGGAAGGCTTAATCCTCTGAGTGCCATCAGTTTGCGTTCACCTGATAGTTGAAATACCAAACATTGCAACATGGTTTGGAAAACTACTGGCAATTGGATAAAGTACTCATGAATTGTAGTAAATGAGCTAAATTACTGGCATGCTCCTTAAATAATTGTAAACAACATGGTCTGAATCGATCAGAAAGACTGAATAGTGATTTCAAACATCATGTTTACCTATCTGGTTCTCTTTTGTTCCTCAGCAGAGCCAAATGCTGTCCCCTCAAGAGACGGCAGTATTAGCTGGTCATACCTTAACATATCACGAACTAATGCCGGACACTCAGTATATTATGCTTTCTATCATTACATAGTAAAGCAGGAATATCATGCAGCACACTGAAACAATTTGAAATGTATCTTGCCTTGGTAACATTGCATAAATGTTATAGTAATAGGCTTCTCCACAAGAGAATACAAGGCCTACTGGATATGGCACTTGATATTCGTAAGGGTTAATAAATGCAGAGCATAAATGCCATTGTTATTTTCACCACATTTTTTTTGGAAGATTATAGTTAAAGATAGAGGAAAACATTGGAAATAAAAAGTTCCTTTGCGAAACTTCCTGACAATGATGGTTTTGGTGGTGGTGCCGGTGGAGCTTTGCCACAAAAGAAGCCAGAAGAGCTAGTATGTCTTGACGGGACTTGCAGAAATGCGTCACACAAAAAACTGACATAAATCATTGTGATGTAATTGTTTAGCCAACAAAAGGATTCTGAAGAGGGTGAATGTTAGTGGTAATGTGATACGTGTAGATTAAATTGTGTGGTTTTCAACTTCCCCACAGAATTAAGTAGTTCTCTGGAAACATCCGCCAGTGTTTATGGAGTATACACAAAAAGACGCACTCCTCGGTCTCGCTTCCTAGCGTCCACAATTTCCTACACTGTTAACATTTCGAGTGCCATAAACAAATAATTGTTGATTTGTTTTAATGTTCAAATCTAACATTTGGTGTGAATGCTCAGCATGAAAGCATTTTTCACATTTAACCACAGAGTACACATCCCGAACTATCTCATGTTACTAAACAAGGAACAAAAAGAAAAAAAAAAGTCTCAACCCTGGGATATGACCAACTTCTAAATGAAAGGCGTCACACACGTCCTATTTTATTTAAAATGATGTGATTGGTTCCTGTTAAAGTCATAAATATTAATCATCGACAAAACAAACGGTCAAGTCAGCTTGTTTATGTAAAAATGGCAGTTTTATCTTAAAGATTTAAAACTTGTTTCAAACAATCACATCCAAGTTTGAAGTCTGTGTATAAGTAGGCAAATGAGCTGTATAATTGCAGCAAGTGGTTTTCCACATACTGCATATTCAAAATATTTTCCTCCCAAAATTCATGAAGTGTTTTTCATTCGTTGACATTGATATTTGGCTTTGATAGGAATCCAGTTTGGCCCTGTGAAATTTGTTATTGTTTTTACAGCAGATATATTTGCTTTAAAGCAGTGGTTCGACTGATTAGCGCTTTTTTCCCTTCATAAAGAAATGTACTTTACTGTTCTCTCTTTGGCAATTACAATCACAAAAATTTAATAAAACCATGTACAGTAGTATCAGCACATCACATGGATTATGTAGGTATTTTTAATATATGTAATAAATATGAGAAGAAGGCACACAAAATGAAAAAGGATGAATTTTTTTTGTTGAGAAACTGATATATCAGCCAGAGTGATAGTATGAAGCTCTTGTATAGTAGCTGATATCACAGTATAATAAATATGACAGAGGCAACTTCACCACTACACAGATATAAAGGCTGTTCAGCTCTTCAGCAAGGAGATCAAACCGTGAAGAGAAACAGCAGCTGCACTTTGAATTGCAGTGCCGACAGTAGTCATTTAATTTAAAAAGTGACAGCAGTGAATACAAATATACCCCTTTTCCCTTCATTTTGACCAAATTTTGACATAAATGTTGAATACAAATTTCCTGTAACTCTTTTTTTTAAAAATTGTGGCTATAATAAAAAAAAAAAGCAGAATGATATCCTGACTTTTCGGTCAAATAACCTTTAAATAATTAAATACTATTATTACCATTTCCCATTCAGCAGCCACAGTCTAAAAAGGGGTTTGTATGAGTCACAGAGTCCACATGGCACTAGAGATTTTGTCCACTGAGTAGGTACAGGACACCAGCCAAGCTTGTCCTGACTGGTTTATGCGTGCTATGGCAGCAAAGTTTTTACCGGGGCAATCCAAAACCAAGGCAGAAAATCCATATGATCAGCTACAATGTCAAAATCTGTACACTCAAAAACAAGCACTCTGTGGCAGTAGGAGGTTCCGCTTTTGTGCAAAAACATAACAATGAACATGACTTTCACACTGCAAAAAACAGCATCTACATTAAAGAACAGCATAGTGAAGTGAAGACAATGTCCTCAGAGACACTGTGTAAATGCTCTGGGTAATGTTACCTAAAAATCTGACTGAGACAATATTATTACGAGCAACCCAGATGAGGCAAACGAAGGGCAAGAGCTCGTGATGATGTGATGATTTGGCATCTCTTGCTCTGATCTTGGCCAATTCCTTAACCAAAAAAACAATAAATACCTAATAACTAACCACTGCAAATCGATTCAAAATATACTCTTGCAAAGGGCTGCGCTGTTTCTGGCAGTGGTGAATATAACTGCCCAGCATATTCAATAAACAGCAAGTCCACCCATTGTGATTCAAATCCCTCTGATACTATAAGGCAGTTGAGTCTCTTTGTAAGAAACCAAGTCAGACAAAAACTCGCCAATCAAAACGAATCTTTGGATTCCTCTAATCTCAGCTGGCGGGCACCACTTAAGGATGACGGACAGATAGGTTGAGGTCTTTCCTAGCTTTCATATCATTATATTCTGATATGCATTTCTTTCGTCACTTGTGCCCTGGTGAAATCCTTAAGAGAAACCGCTGATAATACAAAAGAAACTGGCAGAACCCGGGGCTCACGTTTTTTTTGTCTGTTTAAAGCGCTTTTCATCGGGCGCTCATCATTTTGGTGGCAGCGCTGCATGCTGGTTGCCATGTTGGAGATACGAAGGGGTGGAGATACAGGGTTGGATTATGTTATTCGGAGGTCATGATGGGATGGCATGGTGTCTGGTGTCAGTCACAACCCAGACCAGTAGCAGTTGAAGGGACAGCACTAGCCACAGCGACGGAGTCAGGCCGGACACTCCGCCACAGTCAGCGTTATCTTCCTAGTGGCAAGCAGGGAAAAAAGAAACTAAAGTTAGTATTTGTTACAGAGAATACATTTATCTCTATACGTACGTATATATATATATATATAAGCAGTCCACCAACAACTTTTCCATTGCTTTTGCTCTTTTTGTAACAGAAAAAAAGTCACTAAAACATTTACATATATTACAAGTACATACTCTTATAATACTTTATTTTTCTGAGTGCACTGAATCTAATATATATACACCAATAGGAATTCTGTAACTTAAGCTTAAAAGGAGAAATGATGTTTATAGACAGTTATATGCTGAGTCAACCAGATGAAGAAAAATAAACACTGTATTTCTCTTAAAAATATTATTTCACTACCCTGCTGCTTGTGCCTTTAGTTATATAAAACTCTAAGATAGGTTTATCAGAATGTCTTTTTACATATTTATGGCTTCCCTTGAAAAGGACCTAAAGACTGCCTTGAGTGCAGTTGCTTTGAAAAATCACTGCTGTGTGACCAGTACAGTAGTAGTAACTGAGCTTTACTTCCTAATGTTGTGTTTGGGAATAAAGAAAAGAAATACATAAGCTAAACAAACAGCTGAGCATATCTACATCTGTTTTTCTATTTTTCTTAGCATTTTTTTTTACAACACTGGCGTGTTCATTTTAAAAATGAATGTGAGCTTCATTATCTAACAGGTTGAATCTGATGATGTCACTTCTTTTTTCAGTACTATGAAAAGGTTTTGAGCCAGCCCTATTTTAATTTATCTTTTGCTGAGAGCAGCTAGGCTTTCCTGTAATTTTTGTAAGTGGTCTCAAGCAATAGTTAATGAGCTTTTCTGAAGGTCTTTCAAAATCTTTCTTTGGACATTGGCTGATTTTTCAAACACAGACCTATGAGTTATTCAAGCTGCAAAAAGGGACCCAACACAAGGGATGAGGCAGCATTGTGTCTACACAAAACACCACTTAGCAAAGAACCACTTTGAAATTGTATCTTTAGGCTGTTTGTTACGGCATGCTGTACCCAACAAGTTGGTTCCCAAAGAGCTACTAACTAAAAAAATATCTTAAAGTTATCTTCTTAAGAAATAGAAAAAATGTGAACATTCAATTGATCCAGGTAAGGTATGGTAAAGTACACAAGAACTGGACTGAAAAAGGTCTTAAGGAGTGCCGAATCCATTTGTTGCTCAAAGTGTCGTCAATACATTCAGAGGTCAGGAGAGGGTATAACAGTGAGTGTTGACAGACATGCGTAAAACACGGTGGAGTTGGTCTGTCATGGTTTAGAGTTGCACTTTAGCCAGTAGTCTTAGGAATCGTATCAAAACTGATGGAATCATAAATGCTTACATACAACGTCATATATAAAGTGCCTCATTGGGAACAGCTTCATTTGTCTGCGGGACAATGATCCTGAACTCATCGGCAGTACAGTAAAAGCATACCTGACTAGAAAAACCCGCAATGGAACACTATCAGTCAGGAACTGACCTCCCCAGAGTCCGGAGCTCTGCAGGGTAGGATCATCTTGACTTCTTGAACAAAAGGCAGGCACGATCCAAAGAAGATATTTGAATGTTCCTCAAGAAGTCTGGAGAAGTGTTTCTGAAGACTACTTCAAGAAATTCCAAGAAGCTGCCTCAGAGGGTTCAGGCTAAGAATAACGGCGGCAATAACGACTTTCAAGAATTGCCATACTCCATTTCCATTTATGTTTGCACCTGTTTCAATAAATCACTGTACCCATTTCCCTTGTCCTTGCAAAATATAAATGAGGGGTGGCTCATGACATTTGCACAGCACTGTGGCTGGTGACATTTCCTTTTGCAGACTAAATCCTGTCCTCTAAAGCTTGACAGTTGCAGGTTTTTTACAACTGTACAACAGAATTAACAAAGGACAATGAAGCATAGAAAGCGCCCTAAATGAGCTATGCAGGTATCAAACATGTGGTCATAAAATATGAAACGATATCAGGATGTTTTTTTTCATACTTGACTGGAAAACTTTGGATAAATGAATTCCCCTGATATTTTTTGGCAAAAGAAAATAAAATCTAGATGTAGATGATAGGTGAGCGGTCTGTTTTTGCTAGCATCTGGATACATCAGTAACCAGTAGACATTTGAAGACAGATAATGATTGATGGGGAATAATACAAAGAGAATGGCTTGAAGTTCAAAGTCAGTTAAGGACAGGCATGTAAGTTGGGAAGGTGAAGTCAGATGGTGATATAAAATAAGAAGGAGAAGCAGGTGAGAAAATGTGTGGAAAAGCAATGGAAAAAGATAAAATAGTGGAACAAAGCAGGGACATGAAAATGGGGGAGGAGACAAGACTTGAAACACCAAGGGAAAAAGAAGCAAGAGTTACGAACAAGATCGAGCATTCGAAAATAATGACAAAGTGTTAACGAGTGAGCGTTATGGGACTGACCCGAGACAGCACATGAACAGTGGCAGCAGTAACATGAGCAGAGAAGAAGCCAATGGGGAGCCTGCGCTCCTTCGGCACATGACCTCATCCTAACCATCAACAGCCAATCATAAGGCGGGAAACAGAGAAAACAGAGAAAGAGAATCATGCAGCAAAGGGTCCATATAGTTAGCAGGTTAGAAAGGAAATATGAGCAGAAAAGGAAGAAATAATTAGGTTACATACACAAACAGTAGTACAAGGCAGATGCATTCCCTTCAGAGACAAGTGTGAGAGAAAGTTAGTGTGTGGGTGGATGGGTGGGTGTTTGCATATGCGTGTGTAAGTGAGCAACAGTGCAGGCAGAAGAGTTCATTTTTAAAACTTTGACGCTGGAAAAAGACTATAGAGTGAAAACAAACAAAGCACTCAAGCACAGGGGTTTCACACGCAAAGATTCTGTGCTGCTCATAAAAATGTTTGTTTAGCTTAGTTATTCATAAATCAAGAAACAGCTGACTGTTTATCTTTGCATGGGAAACCTACGCACATACAGCTTTTGAGGGATTTCACAAAAGACAAAAGAATCCAAAAGAGAAGTGGCATGCACGATGTAAAGATATTAGTTATGGAAAGGTGCCATGGGTTCAGCACTGATACATTGTTCCCATACTGGGAGAGAGTCTTAAGGACTTTGAGGAAGTGACTTGAGCTTTGACCAAAATGACTCTTGAAAACAGGCTTGAATCGTGAAAACTTAAAATTACACTCCCTGGACACTTTATTAGGTACACCTTACTAATGTAGTACCAGCTTGGAACCCTTTTTGCCTTCATGGCTATTTCTTATTTCTTCATGCCAAAGATTCAATAGAGTGCTGGAGAAATTTCTCACAGATTTTGGAGGATATAGACATGATAGTATCGCACATTTCCTGCATATCCACAATGCCAATTTCCTGTTCCACCTCATTCCAAAGGAGTTCATTGAATTGAGATCTGGTGACTGTAGAGGCCATTTGAGTACAATGAACTCATTGTCATGTTCCCGAAACCAGTCTGAGGTGATTTGAACCTTGTATCATGGTGCGTTATCAATAATCAGAGGATGGGTACACTGTAGTCATAAAGTGAATAAACAACGCAACATTTTCTTAAAGGTTGAACAAGGCAGGCTCAGTGCCTCAGCGTTGTTTATACTGAATTCTGAGCCAGCCATCTGAATGTCACAGGAGGAATCGCGACACATCAGACCATGCAACATTTTTCTTATCTGTTATTGTCCAATTTTGGTGAGGCAATGTAAATTGCAGCCTCAGTTTCCTGTTATTAGCTGACATGATTGCAGTCTTCTGCAGCTGTAGCCCAAGTGCTTCAAGGTTCAATGTGTTAGGATGCTCTTCTGCATACCATGGTTGTAACGAGTTACCGTTGTCTTAAAATCAGCTCAAAGCAGTCTGGTCAATCTCTTCTCACCTCATGCATCAACAAGCATCTTGATCTAAACAACTGTTAATCACTGGGTATTTTAGACTGTTTTTGGACCATTTTCTGCAAACCTAGTTTGTGGAGTTCCGAAATACTCTGAAAATACTAGAATGAACAACTGTCACGTTCAAAGACACATTCAAAGACAAACTCAAGTTTCTTGTCCTTTCTGATGCTCAGTTTGAACTTCGGCAGGTCATCTTTATCATGTCTATGTGACTCAATGCATTGAGTTGCTGCTTCGCTTTTGCATTATTGAGCAGAGGAACAGGTGTACCTATTAAAGTGCCTGGAGAGTGCATGGTACAAAAAGCTTTGCAATGGTCTTTCTTTCCAATATAACTACACTCAGTAAAGGCTTGTTGGTTGTATATCTAGTTAAAGGTCATTGAGTGTTGCAGATCTTCTCTGAAAAAGTCTGCTGTTATCAGTCCATCCATTTATCTATTCTCTTCTGCTCATCTTTATCAGGGTCACGGGGATCTGGAGCCTATCCCAGTTATGATAGGGCGAGAACCGGATTACACCCTGGACAGGTTGCCAGTCTGTCGTAGGGCTAACATAGAGAGGCAGACAATCATTCAAAGCCACAGTCATACCTATGGGCAATTTTAATCACCAATTAATCTAACCCCACTAAGTGCATGTCTGAGGCTAAGGAAGAAAGCCAGAGTACCCCAGAGAGAACCCAACAAAGAATCCAAATATCTTCCTTAGAAGATAAACAGAGAGAAAATATTTGTCTCCCATTCACCGGAAAGCCAGACAAAAGGTCTTTGCAGACTGGAGATGATAAACTAGCACAGAACAACCATTTTTTTTAAAAAAGGGGAAAACATCATCCAAGTCTGATTAAAGGCACTTACATGACTATTGTTATCAAAACAAGCTGCAGGTCCCTTCCTGTACCGCGGCTCGGAAGCCAATTGACAAGGATCAGGCCCTTGTGCTGGATTACTGAAGTCAGGAACATGACAACTTCTGATTGATTCTGCATTAGTAATAGCAGCAACAAATAGTGCTTTGTTCAGAAGACACAGTTTTTACGTACAGCTGGAATAGTGTTAAATCATACATCTTGATTACTAAACAAAGACACTAGTTGGAATACGTTGCTTAATACTGCAATGACGCAGCCATCATGTTCTACAATGGTGTTTTCCAAGAGGCTTTACCTCTAATTGATCACAGCTCTGTGTATTTGCGAGAACATCATTGATTTGTTTGTAAGCTATTCAGACTTATCCCACAAAACCATCTGCCATACAGACTTAGAAACCAAAGCATTACAAGTCTCTCATTCTGGGCCAATTTGTAAATGTCAATTATGGCGGAGATGATCATTTTTGTGGGTGTGGGATTCTAAAGGACACAAATGAGGGAAATACTCCACGGTAACCGCTGTCGATAATGGAAAACAACCCTTTTACAGAAGCTTGGAGAATGAACATTCAGTTGTTTACCACAAGTCCTCTTTAAATGGCGAGTGGTGAAAAATATCAGTCATAATCAGCGCCTATGTTCTCCAAAGCACAAACTTTATGAACATCTGTTCCCTGAGTCAAGTGTACACACTGTCTACCAGATTATAGCTGGTGTTTAGTAAAAGGATACACTCCTGTTCTTCCTGCTTTAATATCTTTTCCTGACATTCACAGCCATGTTCTGTTTCTGCAACGATGAAGACGAGGTTCGTCTTGGGCAGCCTTTCGGCGTGATAGAGCCTGGAGAAGGGAAGACACACAAGAGACACAAAAGCAGTTGTTGACACGTGGGCTTGAGTCCAGGAAAGATATGATTTCATTCAAACATGCTCACAAGAGATACAAGGAAGTTGAATGTTTAACCAGAAAGCAGTGAAGTGAAGATGCAGTAATTGTCATCTCTTTTCCACAAAAGTAGTCAGCTATTGGTCTGCACACACAGTGGATCACTCAGTCAAGTTTGTCAACTATGCTCATAAGGACACACAAACCTGCCTTACCATGCCGCTGTCCTCCGAGAACTTTACTGAGACCCACATGTTGCTGGTGCTCAAATGATTTGCTCCGCTTTTTTATTTTATTTTATTTTTATAGTGGTCGTTAAAAAGAAACGTGTGTGCAGCTAAAGTGCAGGAATTCCACGCGGCACGCAGGCAGGCACTCCATTAGCCGGCAAGAGGGACCTTAAAACACCACACATGCCCGTGCACATGCACAAATCACACATGAAAATGCCAAGTGACTTGACTTCACTTTTATGGCATGCAAATGTTTTGAAAGGTTTTAGGCCCACATCAGGTATTTTACAGATATTATTCTCTGTCAGCGTCTACACAGCAAGTGCCTATTGTGTAGCTGGGACGGGTTTTTACGGTTTACCTTGAGCACTTCTCTGTGTCGATTACGCCTCTAAAAGACAGGCTGTCATTCTCAAAGTAGTATTGATATTCCTCCTTGATGCAGACCTCCTTCTCCACATCCGGTGCATCATCAGTAGCTGTAGAAGCACATTCAGGTATATTTTTGGTTAACACACAATTAAAACAACAGCTCTGATATATTTTCACCTATTATACCTACGCCAAACATTAGCATTCATTTAGTTGTGTTTTGAATTATTTTTATTTAGAGAGCACTTGTGTGAACCCAAAGCGCTTCACACAACGAAACAACGTCATAACGAGTAGATTGTAAATTTTAAGTAGTGTAACATTCATAGTTTGCCTGTGAGCTTTTGAAAGTTTCCAAGGATATCTGCTTATGAGCACAAGTTCTGGCACATTCCTCAATTGACACTTCTGTCAATCTGTTGATATTTTCGTTAACAGTGGGCATTTGTGTCGTTTTGAATTGACAGCATCATCTCCTTTCCCTTCATAAGGATTTTTCCAGCATTTCATATGCTACAGGAAAAGATAGAGGAATCATTGGAGCATTTTTTCCTGAGTATTTAAAGGGAATTTTGCTATCCTCTGTAAAGCTGATTAAGCTACAGTTTCTTTTACCATTCCATTTGATTTTGTTTGTGTCTACATTTTGCTATGACACTGAGCTTTAAAGAAAACCTAACACAGACAATCATTCTCTGTAGGTTCAACATGAAGGGAGTGCTGTACAAATAGTACATTTATCCTTTGTTCATATGTGACAATTAAAGCAGCTTAAGAGATAAAGTTTATTGCCCTCCTCCCAGGAGAAACCAGCCATGTAAATAGTAATATTTAAATTTAGAGAAAAAAAAAGGAACATTTCTGGGCATTAACACCAGTTCTCGCATTTTCATGGGGATGACAGCATAAAACTAATTCCAAAGCTTTAATAAACTAAAACTTCTATTTTGCCAAAGTCATATGAAAAGAAGTGTCTTTAACAAAGAGAGAGGGAGGCCTGGTATTCTGTTTTTCCTAATACATACAAACCTAAGCCTGCTAAGTTCCTCTAAGGATGAGGTTGTAACTATTTGTAAAAATGACACTGACTTCAAAATAAAAAGAACATCCATCATAATTAATTCTCCATAAGGAGGCAATCCAGGCTGTACAGATCTGCAGACATTTCTTAGAAACAATTCAACCCCCTTGTTCTCATGTGAAATTAATAGGAACCAACCTGCTTCCCCGAAGTTAGGTAATGTGATGCTGACCACTAGCTGTTGCATTACTGACCTAAGAGCAAAAAAGCAATCCCAGACACAAACAAATAGTTAAATTCATTAGATTTTATATACATTAAAACAAAAATCTATTTAAGTACTCATGCAAGCTAAAACCAAACTGCTAAACTAACTAAATTCTATCCAATTTTCATATTTTCATTACTGTGCAAACGTCTTGAGCCATCACTCTTTTTTTATATTTTGCTAGGAAAATGGGAAATAGGAACACTGACTTCTTGAAATGTGAAAACGTAGGTGGAAATGTAAGTCAAAAATAGTGTTCGTATCATTCAAACCAGCTTGAAAGTTATTACTTGGTATGATCACCTTTAGGCAAGCTCTGATGATAAAAATCACTCGGACACACGTGGACCGAAGCAGGCTTATGGAAAGCAGACATTATAGTCGAGACTTTAGGACAACTGTCTTGTAATTTCTTTAAATAGTCTTAAAGATTAGTTCTTTAAGCTTCTTGGTAGACATGCGAAGCTCTTCTTTGGATGCCTTTTGTTTCATTCTCTGTTAAGATGATCCCAAACTACCTCAATAATACTAAGGTTCAGGCTCTGGGGAGGCCAATCTATGACTAATAGTGTTCCATTGTTTGCTTTTCTATACATTTCTTTACATTATGCTTTTATCGGGGCGACTGTGGCTCAGGGGGTTGGGAAGCGTATCTGTGTGCCTCCAGTGTGTGAATGCGAGAGTGAATGAATAGTGGCATTGTAAAGCGCTTTGGTTGCCTTGAAAAGTGCTATATAAATCCAATCCATTATCCAGTGTGTTTGGGATCATTGTTATGCTAAAGAATGAAGCCACTGCAATCAGGTCTGATTGGCAACCTCCTCCATATATTTTTAACCACATATATTGCTGATTTTAACCAGAAATGTCAAATTTTGATCCATAAGACCAGTTGCCACAATATATTTCTTTCTCTTCCCTAAGATCGGCTTCTTGACAGCGACTCTTCCATAGATTGTTTTCCAGTCATGCAGATTTCTTTTTCTTGAGTTAAGAGCCCTTTTAAGCTTGGATGATTCATAGGTGCTAAGTGGCTTAAAAAACAACCAACAAAACACTCATCTGAAAATGGTTGAGAAATTGGACTGAAAATGTAGCGAAAAAGCAGCCAATGTCCAAAGAACAAGGTTGAGAGACTTTCGCAAAGCCTGGACATCTAAAGCTAGAGAGTACTTTAAAAAGTAGTCTCGCTCCTTGACACAAAATATAAAGAAATGAGGTTTAGCTCAAGCAATTTGCATACTGTAGTTGAAAAGTCCTAATATTTGCTTTAAGGGCGTGAATATGGGTACATTTTGAGTGGCCTTAAAATAAATTTTTATTAAACATGTTGTAATGACATCAAGACAGTGACACAGCACATAAATCAAGAGATGATTTCCTGGAATCTAGACTGTCTAGGGAAAAAAAAAAATCAGCTATTAAACAGATGCTATACGTCCATGTGGAGGAACAAATCCTGCTTTCCATGTATTTTGAGGTTAAGGACTTAAAATTCCTGCTTCTATAGAGAATATTTCAGCTAATAATGGAATGACACCATTTCAGACCATATTATTTAAAAAAAAATTTAAAAATCAAACAAATAACAAAAAGAACTCACCAGGCAGCAGCAGTTGCCCACCATCCCAAATTTAATATATCTGCTATTGTGGGCTTAAAGGGAGAAAATGAGAAAAGAATATTAGATGAGCACCAAATAAAACCTACAATGAATAGTTTAGCATTCATTTTAAGCTGGTTGAGCCTGTCTGAATATCCTGTTTGTGTTTACAGTAGCTGTCTAGTTTTGCACAGCACAAAGACCGAAAGTTCCAGCCAGAGGTTTTATTTTCCTCCTTTGTGAGGAAATTAGAGCACAGTCCTCGTCAACAGATGTGAGGATAACTATGTAAACAAAGAACCAGTGAGAAAACAAAGTAGCACACAGTTTAAATAAAAGCCCCAACATGTTGCTTTGATTATAGTTAGCATGCGAGGGCCTTGTTTCGGTGAATCAGTGCTGTACTCTTTCCTTTTAGTTGACGGTGTCCTCAGTCATCAAGGAGGCTTTACTAACCGTGTTACACTGGCTGCTGACAGAGTCTTTGATCAGAAGATATCTGCGTCTTTCATCTCACCTTGGTCACTAGACCATGTACGAATATGTGGTAACAGCTGGGAAATGACAGTTTTGTTTGTATAGTAAATGATTTGAAATTTTTACAAATACAAATACCTCTATTAAGTTTCGGCTTATTGCCTCTTCCTATGAAGGAAACATTTTAACATCAAGGGAAAGCATCAGTGTTACTGTAAAATCGGCAGATAATTTACATCATTCCACTGGAAGTTGCACTTTTTGTAAGTGACAAAAAAAAGTGCCAGCTTGTACATTGCTTGATGTGTTAGCCAAGCAATCTTTTACTCTGAAACATCCACTTTAGCCATGCTTTCACCATTCCCTCTGCTTTCCCTACTGTCTGCACTATCCAGATGTATGGCTCCCTTTAGAGTGACGTGTGTATATGTGTATGTGTGCATACATGTCATCAAGCAGGTATGAGTACAAATTGCATCATATTTACTTGCGTCTATCCTTCTGTTCATGCAGGGAAATTAATTTGCGTATGGATATCAGAACGTGTAGGTGTGCAGTAATGCGTGGCTCAGTTTGTGTGATAGGTTTTGCGTGTGTTTATAGTCTCTGGCTTATGTAACTTACCACGTAGACGGATCGCAACCCGGCAGATGTTTTGTCCTCTTTCTTGGGATCACAGAGCGACTGGTAGTTATACGTACTCTTATTGGTGTACAGAGACGAGTTGATCAAGCTTCTCATAATACAAGGGTCGATCTCACCGAAGAATTTCCCAATCTAGTTTTGCAGCAGGGATCAGGTATTCAGGGCACAGAATAATAATTATAATTAAAAAATAAATAAATAAGAACTTGCACAAAGAAATCATATAATTTACATGACTAATACATGAGTAGTAAACATGCCTCAAGGTCCACAAACTACCTACAGCCCGCAGATAAATGGTTGAACACAGCCAAAACTACTAAAATTTTAAAATTGATATTGTAGTTGGGATTGTTCATTTACAGAGAGCCTAAGCTTCTTGATAATTTGAATTTATCATTATACTTTTGCCTAACTATTTATTAGGTACACGTTGCTAGTACTGAACTGGACACTCTTTGCCTGCAAAACCACCTATTTTTTTGTAGAAGAGATACAAAGATGTGTGGGAACTGTTCCTCAGATATGTTTGTCCATACCGACATGACAGAAATATATACAGTAATTGCTGCAGATTTGTCGGCTACACATCCATGATGCCAATCCTCCATTTCACCACTGACGACAGTTACAGTATCTGGTGAATGTGGAAGACATTTGAGTCCACTAAAGAAACCATTATGAAAGATCCGAGCTGTGTGACATGGTGCGTTATCCTGTTGGAACCAGCAATCAAAAGATAATGTTATCAAGCCATCATGTAATTATGGCCAGCAACAATGCCAAGGTAGGCTATGGCATTGACATAATACTTAAGGGGGGGGCGTGATATGTGCCCACACTATTACACTACCAGCTGCCGCCTACAAGGCAGCATGCTTTCGTGTTGTTCATGCCAAATTCTGAACTGCTATCCAAATGGTTGCAGGAGAAATCAAGACTCATCTGAATAGGCAATGTCTTCTTCTGTCCAATTTTAGTGAGTCTATGTTAATTGTAGCCTCACTGTAGCCTCTTGTTCTCAGCTGACAGAAGCCTGATGTTTGCTTTGAACCTGGCCATCATGACCATGTCTACATACCTAAATGTGTTAAGTTAGTGCCATGCGATAGGCTGATTGAGCAGTTAAACAGGTGTACCTAATAAAGTGGTCAGTGATTGTAAATTTGCTGAAAAAAAAAAAAACCCCACACAAAGTAAAACACGTGCAACAAAAAGTCGTGAAACTGTAGACATGTGCAAAAAAAGTTCAGAGAATTTAAAGACAAACAGACAGCAAATCACTCTCAAACCAGGATGACTGACTTCGGTATAATCTGATTAACACAGTCCATCGGGCAGCCATAAATTTTTACTTGGGGGAAGTAGTTTGCCTCAGTATATCAGAGGTATCACATGACTGTGTGCATGGAAGTGTTTAAGTAACAGTGTTTCCAGGAGGGTGTGTGTACAGTAAGTAGTGTTCTGTGTGTTTGTACTTTATGAATGCAGTCAATCGCTCAGGTCACTGTTAACAAGCTGTCCTCCATATATTCATTCCTCTTTATCTTAACATTCGCAGAGTATATAAATCTTTTAATCTATAAAGGTAAAGTGAGCCTTCTTTTCTTTCCACGTGCAATAACGCAAATAATGAATTAACAGTCCCGGCACTGCTAGCTTGCAGACTCCCGGAGGGCGTTTTGGAGAGAGCAAAGGAATAAGCTGGGGAGAGAAGGACATAGTAAGAGGGAGAGAAAAGGGGAAGCTCACAGAGAGAGAAATATGATTGAGGGCACACTGCCTTTTATAAACAAGGTCACTGGGTTTTTAGTACTGCTGAGGCTACTGATTTATCCACCATACACCCAACTCTGATTAGGGAAGGAGTTGAGGTGGCATGAAAACATTTACTCAGATGACAACAGAGGCCCAGTGTCAGCCTTTAGAATAGGACAATAACATTTATTTTCTGTATTTGGGCTTTTTGAATTAGCTAATAATAGGAAGCCATGGGAAAACTTTATTAGGCTCCCTTGTTATGTTTTTTTTTTTAGTAATAAAAAAGCAAATTTAGGCTTACTGAAGATTCACAAAAGATTTGTTGTGATATTCAAACATTTTATGGGCTTTGTATTAGAAAGCTGGCAAGTTAAAGACAAACTGCATTAGGTGAGTCCAGGAAAAGGTCAGTCTGTGTGTAAAATGACTGGTTGTTGAATTCAATTCAACTTTGAGCATGTAAGTCCTCTGGCAGTAAAAAAAGAATTTCTTTCAAGGTAAAGAAAAATGAAAGAAATATTGTTTTGACGCAAAATATTTCAACTTAAATCCAGCTTACCTTGAACCTCCAATTTCATTTCATGAACAGAATTTGATCAGTTGTTACATTATCTATACACTCATGTGAAAAGTTATGTTTTTATAGGGTTCTATGTCCTGTGAAAAACTAAACACACCCTTACTGTTCCCAAGGTAGGTAGTAGCCAGGTACTGCTAATTAGATACAAAGTTGTGGCAGTTTCCAGATGAGGAGAATTCAAATGGCTTTTAACATAATTCCACAATCATCTGAGCAGCGGATGTCCGAGCAAATTCACCTTAATATGAGAGTCAAATATGAGGCCATCTGTCCAACAGCTAAACCTCGGCTGACACTTGGTCATTCAACAGGACAAATACCCCAAGCATAGTAGCAAATCTACAAACGAATGACTAACAAAGAAAAGAATCACAATGTTGCCATGGCCCAGTCAAAGTGCAAATTCTCCAAACGACCTAATTGAAATTCTGTTGCGTGACCTTAAGAAAGTAGTGCACAAACAAATGCAAGCAAACCTTAATGAACTAAACAATGTTAGGAAGAAGAGTGAGCTAAAATTCCTCTGCAATGATGTGAGACACTGATAAAGTTATACAGAAAATGATTACATCAAATTCATGCTCCCAAAGGTGGTTCTATAAACTACTAAATGATGGGGTGTTAAGCTTTCGCAGGACTGCAGAGTTCTGGTCACATTAAATCAGGCACTCAGAATCACTATATTTTCAACTGCTGTGTGAATGGAAAAAAAAAAGAAGAAAAAAAAAGGACAAAATCCAGAGGCCCACCTCATTAAAATGGTCAATCTGATTGGTCATCACCAAGAAGCCTCCATCATCCAGAATATAACAGTTTAAATTCTGGAATTAAACAGATAATTAAACCAGCGCTGATTTTCATCCAAAACTAACAGCAAAACATTTTCTACATACCCGAACCTCTTACCTTATCGCCTATCGTACAGCCACACAGCTCATCCTTGCACTTGAAAACATAAAGGGGCAAAATGATGAAAACTGATAGGAACGACAAAATGTATCTAATTGCGCACATGCTGAATATGTCATCAAGATAGGATCTACTCACACTTTTTCTCTGTGAGGTGTTGGAGAAGATCTCTCTCCACATATCTATGTCCAAATGTACACCGACCACTGGGTTAAAACACAAAAGCCAGACATCCTAGATCATACCGGACCTCTGTGTCAACTTTCCACTCTGAACTCAGAAAATGGAACTTGGCTAAAGATCACAGACAACTAGACAACTTGATGTGTGGTTTGTGTATGTGTGTTTGTGTATCTATGGCAGAGGGAAGAAGAAATAGACAAACGTAGTGGCTATTAAATTAGAAGCAGCAAGTGTTGTTGGAGGAAAAGAAGTTCACATTATAGGGTGTGGATCTATAAATAAGATGCATCGCTTTAAGCGTAAGTGTGTTTATGTGTAGGCGGTTTAATAAAAGATGGAGCATGAGAAATGGGCCTTAAATATGTAAACACTCATTGGGTTGTGATTTGTATTTGTGCACGTGTGTTCTTACCAGCTGGTTTGAGTGTGGTATCGTCAATCTTGAGGTTTACTGCTTTACTCACTAGAACTGAACCCTCATATTGAGCTACAAGAAAAACCAAGGAAACGCTGCATTGAAAATGGTATGTGCACATTTTCATTTTATGGCTACTAACAATTTACTGGCTTTATCGTTAAAAGTTAGCAAACTAAACAAATTAACAATTCACAAAACTGTCAAAGGAGCTTGGAAAGAAAAGCGTCTGGACTTCTTTAAGTTGCTTGAAGACGTTTCACTTCTCATCCGAGAAGCTTCTTCATTTCTATGATCAAATGGTGGAGAGTCCCAGATTTAAGCCCTGTGGGAGTGTCCCCACAAGAGGGACATGGACCCCCTAATGATCCTCTACCTAATCACACGAGCTAAGGTGTGAAAACGGGTGTGGGTCACAATCAGCCAAGCTTTCGGGTGAACTGATTGTGAGACCTTGCCCCACCCCATCATGTGATTTCCTGAAGTCAAAAGGCCCGGGATGTGAGTGGGAGTTAAAGCGTCTGGGAAGGGATCTCAGAACTGGATTATAGATGGCAGACAGTTGTTGTCGTAAACCACCGCCTCTGTTCAAAGAGGGCCGTTCACAGTGGACATAGATGGCTTTGTTCACTCCTCTTTCAAACCATCTGTCTTCTCTGTCCATAATGTCAACATTGGTTTCCTCGAAAGAGTGACCTTTATCCTTTAGATGGAGATGGACTGCCGAGTCTTGTCCCGTCAAGGTGGCTCTTCTATGTTGTACTTTCTCAGATGAGACGTGAAATGTCTTCAAGCAACTTAAAGAAGTCCAGACGCTTTTCTTTCCAAGCTCCTTGGACTATCATGACCTAGATGACAGAGAACCTTCACAGACAATTCACAAAATTGTTACTGCTGTCCCCTCACCCACTACACTCAACTTTCTTTTAAACTGTCCATTTGATGCTCCTTTAGTGACTCATTCATACAACTGTATGGTTTACTGTATAAAAACACTGTATACTACTGAAGCGCTTTTGACTTCAGAAAAAATAAGTTAGTTACTGAGTGTGACTCTAAGTTAGAATCACAATCTGAGCACAAGAGAACCAGATCTGATCACAATACATTGTAACCATTTAGTTCTGTGAAGGTGAAAGTCAAGACAAAGGTGAGAACTGAGGTAAAGGCTCAAGCCTTGTTGTGGGTTTATTTCCCACAAGCCCCCGATAGAGAGATTTAACAGCTAATTATTTAGAGCTCAGACAGTGTCTGCCTCTTTATAGCTTGACACTGATATGTTTGTGAACACTGAACTGTGTTGAACACCCTGGTGACTGCGTTGTAGCCAGTCATTCTTTAGCTTACTTTGCAGGTTGTACGGCATTGCACAAATATGTTACACAGTGACGTGGAGTAGTAACGGACGAGCTGGATCTTCAAAGAGGCTTTCTGGGTATTTTAGCCAAAGTTGTCTTTGGGAGAGAATAACTCTTAGGTGATGACACAACCGAGTAGCTGTTACTCACAAATATTTTCGAATACAGTTGGAGTGAAGATGTACAGATCGTTGTCCAAACTTCGCTTGTAGAAGCTTAAATCATACGTCTCCGCTTGTCCAGTCCAGTCCAGGCCATTACTGTAAAAATAAAGACGAGTGCATTCAAATATTACCAATCTAATACTACCACGACCACATTTTTGACTCTAATATCTATAGATCTAATTCTAACTGCAGTTCTTTGTTTATCACGCTCACATTTAATAACAGTAATAATAAAATGTATTTATAGAGCACCTTTCAAAAATCAAAAACAAGATAGGAAACAAATAGCAATAAAATATTTAAAGAAGAGATAAAGATGAAACAGTATTAGGGGAATGCTGGTAGCAGGAGAAGATTAAAAAGCGAGAAGAAAATAAAAAAAACAGGTAAATTAAAATTTTTTTTTAAACATTTGCTAAGAAGAGATGATAGCGATTATTTCTGTCTTATCCATGTTTAGCTGCAGGAAGTTCTGTGCCATCTAGCATTCAATATATTGGATATAAAATTAGTTAATTAACTTGATGACTGCCTTTAGTGTTAAAGAGATGTAAAGCTTTGTGTCATCTGCATAGCAGTGAAAACACTGTGCCTACAGATAACCTGTCCCAGGGGTAATATGCATAAAGAAATCAGAAGTGGTCCAAGGACAGAGCCTTGCGGTACCCCACAGACCAGAGTTGCCAATGACTTACCCTATCCGGATGATCTGATATCCTCGTGTTGGTGATGTTCCCAGACCATCATGAAAAAGTTGTTCCAGGTTCAACATTGCAAGTGACCAATCACATTGTTGTGACGTTATTCTTTTGCGTGCCAAGCCATTCGTGCATTTATGCAATTCCAATGTTGCAAGGACAATATCAATTCTGCTTACTGTTTATTAAAGGGTTACGGTTAGGGTTAGGGTCAGGGTCCGTTGATCGGCGGACAGAGGCGGTTTCTCGCAGCTTAAGTACAGTTTTTGGTTTTACGCCGGTTTTTCCCGAAGTCGCAAAAGTATGACGTCACAACATTCTGATTGGTCACTTGCAATGTTGATCCTGGAACAACATTTAGTATGATGATCTGGGAACAACACCAACACGAGGATATCAGATCGTGCTACCCTATCCTGTAAGTAAGAATAAAACTTCCTTAAAACTGAACCTGAAATGATTCAGTAAAATACAGGTTTTACCAGAATGGGAAGCAACCCATAAATCACTCATCACTCTGAAGGGTGCTAAATGAAAGCAAACAATTCTTCAGCAACAATCCTTGAGAAAAAAATAGATTGGACTCTCTCTCTCTCTCTCTAGTATACCTTTTGTCCTCTCTCTCTCTGTTCTGTTTCCCCTCATCCCCAACCGAAGAAGAGTTTTTTTTCTTCCTACTGTCACCATCCGTTTGATTATTGGGATTTTCTAAAAGCTCTTTACAGTTTCATGATCTCCATCGTATCCTAAACAACAGACGGGATGTTGAGTTCTAGTCATGTGACTTATATAGTAAGATGCCACTTTTTTGACTCCACTATCGTTGATAGGAGCGATATAGGGATGGAGACAAAGTTCTAAATTTATTTGTCAAGCTATTGCTCGACCTTTACTCAAGGTGTATGAACTAACTGGATATTGACTTTTCTGTGGGATCACTCTAGAAGTTTAGGTAGCTAGAGGAGGGGCAGAATACTGTAGCTGGACTTTCTCACAGAAAAGGACCAGTTAAGATGGCTGGAATGCTTCTATGTAGCGGTATTCTAGACATGTTTTGCTGGTAGGATCCCCAGGGAAACCCCAGAACTTGCTGGAGGAACTAAATATCCAATCTGGCCTGGGAAAGCCTTGGCAATCCCCAGGAGAAGCTGGGTCAAGCACCTAGGGACCAAAGTATAAGGTCCAATGGGCCACTTTCCTCAGCTTATACCACCATCACCCACTGACATACAACAGTAAATGGATATACATTTATATCCAAACATACATAACAAATCTGACTTTATGCCATAACCACTAAAAATCAAGCACTACATTGGTAAGTTGGTGCTCTATAAGCAGACCACATCATAATACTTTATCAGATAATCCTAAACATACTACATATTTCTTCCCATGATCCTAAATCAACCCTGCCCTTGATCATCTAAGAAATACCTTGTGGGGTAGACTCGTGTGATCCCTCCTTCAGTCGCAACATATCTGGACATGACACCGTTTCTGACAAGCAGAGTAAAATAAAGCTGTAAAGCATACCGTTACAAAAACTGGAATGTGCTTTATCTTTGACATTAACTGAAATACTTGAACCACCTGTGTTCAATTTTTTCCACCTGGTCATTCTTTACCAAATACCGGTGCTTCACTTACATCGGATCGTTTTCTTTCCATATCTTGATTAGATCGGAGGTGATGCCAGCATCGAGGAGCAATCGGTTCACCAAATCCACATTGCCTAAACAGCAAAACAGAATTTTGAGCCTCAGTATTTTACCTTTGGAATAATATGCGAGTGAGTCGGTAGACTTCTGTTAGGCATCAGTCTTGTCTCATCTCAATAAGCTGATGTTGCACTTTAGAAAATTATGTGGAATAAAAACAAAAGAAAACTGTGGAGCATTAATAGAGAGTAACCACAAACTCTGCTGTGAGAAAAACAGAAATACTGTCAGAAACAAAAACATGCTTGGAAATATTTTAACATTTGCATCACATTTTATGTATCCAGAACCAAATCACTAACTGAGAGAAGGGAACAAGATTAAACTGAGATATTACCAAAATCACAAACACCTAAAAAGATCCAAATGGAAACAAAGCTGAAAAAATAAAGCTGAAGCAATGTCACAAATGAAAATTTTCAGAACAAATATTACTCTTTGAAGAAAAGAGCGTCTTAAAATCAGAAACAGATAAAAAGTATTAAAGCACTGTAGGAATGAAACACGCATTTTCATGCACACGCCTCCTTCTCTGGGGTAGGTGGTAGGGTAGCACAGGTGTTACCAAAAAAAACCATTTTGCGGTCTTCTGTGAAAAACCACATGACAAAGGTAACATATGATACAAGCTGCTTGTCCATTTCTTTTTTTGTTGCTATGCCCGCCTCTTTGAACCCACAGGCGACCCTCTTCAGTCCATTAACATCGAGGCTCGTCGGTGCACCCCCTCCACCTCCTCCAACCTTTATGACACACCACACACACATCAGAGAAAACAGCTGGTGTAACACTTTATTTCCCTCCTACTCCACCTTCCCTCTCTGTGCAGTGTTTTTCATTAGAGATTCTTTATTGGAGGCAGCCCAGGAATTCCTAATGTACTTCAACTTCTTCGCCACTGCAGTGGCTTAACCAAGTAAAGCGTGTAACGATGCTCAAACCCCCAACAGTCCACATGGGCCTCCTCTCTCTCCCCTTCTCTGCTCTCTATGGACTCCATTAAACTGGCAGCTAATAATGGTGAAAGTAATATTTCAATTGGGTGAAAAGTTTTATTGGATTGATCCTGTTGAGATGTTTGAAGTAAGTTATTAAATGCACACCATCAAATTATACCAAGGAACACAATATAGGAGCTTTTATAAATATCAGGGGACCTTTTGGTTTACTCAGCCCCCCCCTCCCCAAAAAAAAGAGTGATCCATATCAATGAGCGCATGTAAGAAATGGCAAGGATGTTAATGCATTGGTCAGATGTTAGGGAAAAGGTCCACTGGTCCCTGATTTGTGTTTTATTGCTCCGCTCACGCTCTCGGCTTGACGTGTCCTGCTCTTTCTCACAAACACAGAGTAATTGGATGAGGTCGAGCGGCTATAGGTGGGGTGTGGAAGGCATATTGCTATCGAATACTGTGTGTGTGTGTGTGTCACATCTAAGCCGACGTGCCTCACACATGTGCAGTCAGGCGTGTGATGGTCAGACTTTTAGAGTTAGCATCAAATGGGTAACACGAACAGAGGGGTTCAACATTACAAAGCTTTGCCTAGTCAGGCACACCAAACCATCCAGCTAGACCTGTACTTCACTGGAAAGAGAGACTTCTGGGAGTATGTTTGGGTTGGCACTCTTCCAGTAAAAAAATAAAATTATTTTTTCATGTACACCTACTATAACAAACAGTGCTCACATCATAACCATAGGCACCAAGAACATGCAAAATGGACAAAAATTGTGGTAAATATTTCTTCATTTTTTGATACTTACACATGGGGTTGTTTGGAGTCTTCCTGTCAATGTAATCGTTAAACCTCTTGAGGAACTCTGTGTTGTTGGCGTCAGGCTTTAAGTCCTTGCAGTAATCTCTGTTGGCAATGGAACAATTCTCCAGTCATACTGAGTAAAAGTTATGTTAGAAGTAACTTTATAAAAAGTTGTCTGTGCCTTCTTACCTCGGTGCAATCAGTGTGTAGCCATATTCATCAAACTTGTCAGCCATGAGGCTTTCAGAAACTGCGATAAGTATAAAGTAATATGAGTTTTCCCCAATAAAGGTTCAAAATTAGGTTCAGAATAGACAAGTTAATAAGAGTCACTATATTGAGATTGAGATGAGATGTTCCATCTGAGCGAGACTGATACCTCAAAAAGGTGAAAAAATTATTATAACCTTCTTCCTTATTTCATATGTTTTGAATATTTTTCACGTTTACATGTTTCAGGTCATAATACAAATTTTAGACTAAAATAAATAACCAGAGAAATTACAAAATGCAGTTTTTAAATGATGACTTCCATTACGAAGGGGTAAAAGCTATCCAAATCTACCTGGCTATATGTGAAAAAGGAATTGCCCCTCTTATTAAACATGAATTAACTGTGATTGACTAAATTTACCAAAATTTTAAAAAAAGCATCTTGATGATCCTCACGAGTTTTGATAAAATATTATTTGAAATGAAGAGATTACGTGCAGCAAAACTAACACAGCATTTCAAGTGGTTCTAGGAGTGCTTTGCTGTTCACGACCTGCACAGGTTGCAGTAATGGAATGATGAATTCTGCTCTCTACCAGAAAATCATGAAGGAGGCATTTTTTCCCATGAAACTCAGGCACACTTGAGTCATGCAACACAGCAATGACCCAAAGCACACCAGCAAGTCCACCTCTGAATGACTAAAAAGAAATTAATTAATTAATTTAAAAAAATGAAGGTTTGGGAGTGGCCTAGTCAAAGTTCAGACTTGTAGCAGAAGCACTTCATTATAGTTCTCGTTGTCAAAGGTGGCACAACCAGTTATTAGGTTTAGGTGGCGGCTACTTTTTCCACTTTTTTTAGGTTTGCTTTTTTCCCTTAAAAACTGCATTTTGTATTTATTTATCAGGTTATCTTGTTTTAAATGTATTAAACGATCTAAAACCCTGTATGTCTTGGCAATGAGAGATAACAGGTCTCTTAAAAAAAGTCCCCACAATGAGAAGGTTGTGGGTATGTCAATGAAGACAGTCACAAGTTTGATCATCCGCAGTCTGTTTTCTCTTTGGTAGCTTTCCATTTTCCTTATTCCCCTGACTTTGTTTACATTTGGTATTTTAATTTATTTTAAGTTTGTAACTAAAAACTCCTTGGTTAGGTTTAAGGTAAATTTGTAATTTGTGTTGAAATATGTCCCTTCAAAACACTGCATGCTGAAACACGTTTAGACTTTCTTTAAATACGAGAAATTGCTGCGAAGCGTCATAATTGAGAAACTTATCTGATTATCGTCTATGTTGAGTCACAGCTCAGTTTCCAAGGAACATACTTTTTGCATCTGTCAGGACACCAGCAGCATCGACACAAACACACCATTTGGTGTTCTGGTAATGATAAGGGGCTGCGATAACTCGTACAGCTAGACTAACTGAGGCAAAAGTTGTGTTTACAGACCGCAAAGATTCAAATTTTGCACAAACAGGTGAAAATCAGGTATAAAGGCAAAAATAAAAATACACCAGAACAGACTTGGCCAGATGTGCCGTATAAAAGACCGCTAAGACTCGGAACCAGAAGGAGAGAGATGAAAGTAAAGGAAAAAATACTTGCCATTTTTCCCTGGAGTGGAAAAAATCCCAGCAGAGACAAAGTGAATGAACAAGCGAATCATCCCCCAGGGAGGTAAAGACGAGAGGGAAAAGAAAGGGGAAAGAAAAGACAGGGTAAAACCACAGGGGTCAAAGGTGACAATATTTTATTCACAGAACGAGTCCTGAATAGAAATATTGCATTTCGAACTAAAGGTTTTTAGCCCTTTGGATGCAAATGGAGACAGCGCTGATGGACAACACAAAGAGAGGCTTAAAATGCGGTTTCTAAAGTTAGGTTTGATATGTGTTTTTAGCGTTAGGATTAGCATTCTTCTGGCGATAGCATAAATCTGTGGAGTTAAAATACTTCTGTGATGCATTTGCATTAAAAATACGGTGCATTGAAATGAAGCGGGAAATATATGCCGCGGATCGTAACCTTAATGTTTAACCTTAACATTTTTCTCTGTTGATTATATGATGCAGCAGAATTTCTCACGGCGACACGGCTGCTGCTTGTCCTCTTTGGTAGTCATGGTTGGGGAATAGCTGCACCCATGTGGTTTTTCTTTTATATTCAGTCACTGCTTACTAATCCCACAAAGTATCCAGTAATGATGGATAGCAGAGAGATTTGGGAAATGAGGAATTAATTTACTTTTTGGGCTTTTAAATAAAAAATGTAATAAAAACCCTTGGCTTGTTTTGTGAGCTTCTTTAAAATGCTAAATTCATTCATAGTAACTCTGGATTTCAGCATAAATCGATCTCTCATACACAAACAAGAAATAAAAATCTGCACCGACTTAACAAATGCGTGATAAATAGATGAGGGAATTGGGAGATTATGGTTTGGACTTGAACTGTGTTTTTAAACTGACATTTACAGTGCTCTGACTCTCTGAAAAGGAATAAAGCAGACAAGCCAGGCTTCAGTTTCAGAGATTAACGATGTTCTGCTGAGACTTTTGGATTCGATGCCTGCAAACAAGACAAAACTGATGACAAAGCACACAGAAGGGCAGACAGAAGAGGCGAGGCTTAGTGTGTTCAGAAGTATCCTGTCTTTCATTAGGAGTTATTTAACAAGGTTGTAAAAATCAAAGTGAGTCAAAAAGGAGAAAAGTGAGGAAAACAAAGACTCACACTAACTCATGTTCGGGGTACAGACTCACAGCTTTCTCCTTTATGGTTTCACCTTTAAATAATGCAAACATCCTGTCCTCTGTTCTTCCTGCTACAGTAGGTTAGTGCCAAAACCACATCTGAGGGCCATTGGAACAGGTGGGGGGTTAAATACACACTTGCACACACAGACCCGCACACACTGTCTGCGCCGCACTGTGGGTCCACATTGCATGCGAAGCACTGCTTCTCAGAGCAAATAGCAGCTTGATTCAGTGTCACAGAACTGTCATTATTAATCAGAAACCAGCATACGAAGGAAAACAGATCATTAGAACAAAATGCTTCCGTCTTTGTGAGTCAGACAGAGTGAACCAAAGGAAAAGACGTTACATCCAAAGTCTGCCGGTGATAAGAGAATACAAAGAATACAGGGGCTGTGAGGCAAAAAACAGGAGGAGAATACTTGCCCAAAAACGCTGCAGGGGTCCAACACACCAGGAATGGTCAAGAGTTGAAGAAGGCAGGAGAACGTAAGAAGGGAGGACAGTGAAAAGATGAGGAGAGGAAAGAGGGAATTGGGAAAAGAGAGCCGGAAAGGAAGTAAGCCAACAGGGTTTACACAATATTTTATTCAAAGGGAAATTGAATAAGAATATTGTTCTACGAAAGTGCCCAACAGTTTAAGTAATCAGTTTGTGGAAAGCACAAAGGGGCAGTTTAACAAACGTTATGATATGTGGCAAAAATCTGTTCATTCAGTCATCTTATAAAAGCTTCATTTGATTTGTCTTGAGGAACAAAATGGTTTTTACATTTACATTTAAAGTGGAGCTCTTATTGTCATTACCATATTTCTATTAGTTGACTCTATTGAAGAAGCTTTGCATGAATTACAACTGAAAGAATTCTTATTTATGGTCCTTTTACCTCACATTTAGACTTGGTGGAGTTCCTCAGTTAATCTATTCCCTTTCCTTCTCTGTAACTTAATCTGATTGGCTGCTGCTTAAAAAACAGAAGGTTTAAACAGCAGGTGGGTGGGGCTTCAATGCTCAGAGTTACAGTTGCAGTGCACCTGTGACCATTTTTAATATGACCATTCTCTTTTATAGATCCTGAGGCTTGTAGGGATTAACCTTCACACACTGACTTGATCATTAAACTGATCATGGGCAGGTTCTTCTTTCATGGATAAACACATTAAAAAAAAACTTTTTAAGAAAAAAAACAACAACACATTTTTAAGTGTGTGTGCACACTAATTTCAAACTGAATTTTCACACTAACAGCATCACACTTCAGCACAAAAGCAACTCTGCATTAATTTAATTTGTTCTATTCTGAACTATTGCAATCAAAAACTAATCACTGTAATGAAAAAGAAATCAACTGTTATAACTTTAAAACTTTCAGCCAATACCAAAATCTCATATGTTACAAAAAGCCCTTCCAAGAGACATTTTCAAACTGTCCACATGTATGATTATTGAAAGGTGATGAAATATAACAGACTGCCAGAATCCAGCAGGCTTTGTGTCTTTCCTGAAATAAGAAGTGTGCTGTGGTGGCCTAGAAGTCTTAAAATGTGCTTTGACCAGTATGACTGTAAGGTTTATGTAATATATGCAAAATCAAAAGTAATATTGCATTTACAAGATCCACAAATGTCCACTGAATGCAGACTCTAACCAGGCATGGCTCCAACCTAGCTGCAATGAATATAGACACACAATAAAAATGTCCTTTGAGTAACACTATAAGTCAATGACATCTTTTACTAGTGGGAACAGACAGATCTTAAAAGGGACATGACGACAATGCCACACATATGGACGCTCTGATCTGGTGTATATCATCTCACGACTGAGCACAAATGTATAAATACCCTCTTGGTAACACACACGGGCAGGCTCACACACGCTGAGGTATTTGGCTTTAAATGAAGTGATGAGTACTATATGTGCCAAACGGGACACTGGAGCCTCTCGTCCCGCTTGTCTGGTGACAAAAACTTTGAACACCACCACAACTGAACATGGGTTTTGCAATAGATACACAAGTGACAAGTGCAGGAAAGGAGAGAGCATGTAAATGAATTATCTGTATATATATTATCTCTGTGTGAGCAAATATGGGGTGTGCTATAAGTGATGAATAGGAACTATAACAAGACACACAAGTGTTTTTTAGCCCTTACATGGAGAGCATTGATGTCACTGGAGAATATTAACAGTCATTTTCCACCCACTGCCATGTATTTACTGTCTGTATATATAAATGAGTGGAAAACCTTGAATAGCAAAAGAGACTGAACTGATTTAGTGTGGCACTTACATTTAGCCTGGGTGATTGTGTCGCCAATTGTTGCACGGATGTAATGCATGCTGTACTCGGGCAGGACTAGGGCCAGGCTGCGAGAGGACAAATGATAAAAACATGACATTTTGCTTTGGAAAAAAAATCCTCAGTCTTCCACCACAAATCTTTCAGCAAGGCTTGCAAAGTATTTTTAGCAGGAAGCATAATTTACCAGTTCACATGCAGTAAGCTGCGCAGACACTAGCCACTCTGGTTTTCCAAAAGTTTATTCCAAATTGTGTCTGGATATTGCCCTTACCACAGATCATTTTTAATGAGCACAAAACAGAATTATGACTATGTAAAGTACGAATGCAAAACATGCACGAGGTTTAAAAAGCCTACCATCTGCATGCACCAAATCTACCGTCGCCGAAATCATATTCAAAATATTTTGCGTACCTGTAGTCAGTCCCCTTCACCGGCGCAAAGGTGTACATCCTCTGACCTCGATCGATGTAACGCTTTAGGCAAGAATATTATGACTATATATATATATATATATGTGTATAAGCTGACAAAATGACCAAATTATCATGATCACGCATCATCAAATAAAATTACCTTATCTGTTGATTTCAGCAGTGTAGATATAGTCGCACTTCCTGTTTCACCTTGAATCATTTGCTTTCTTATCTGTTGACCAAACATTACAAATAAATGATACTATAGTGACACGTCACTTATTAGGACTCATTTGATAGATGTCCAGGGGGCCAGATTGGAGTCTTTTTGGATCCAGGCCATATATTTGGCAACCTTGTATTACAGTTTATCTGATTTTGATGTGACCTCCTGCAATTATAGGAGTCAGAGAAATGTGTTTTTCAAACCTGCACTTTGATGTCATCCTCGATCTCTGCATCTAGGAAATCCAGTGTTACAGGTTCATGAAACTTGGCGGTCTGCGCAGAAATGCGAGCAATTAGTGTTGCGTACCAAAAATGTTGGCAGGGGGAAAAAAAGAAAAAAAGAAAAAAGGAGAGACTAGTAATCATCTCTTACTGATGTATTTCCAAGAAACTATTTTGATATTTTGCAGTCTTATTATGAAATAATTTGCTGTAATCATCTGTAATCAATTTGTGAATACAACATTTACAAGAAAATGCATATCTCAATGCCGCCCGTGTTGCCTCGCTTCAACAAACACCATCCTGGAGCCATATGGCTGACTTGTGTATAATAAACAACTAAAGTCAGCCAAATAACACAGTCAGTGTAGAAATCCAAGAAAACATCCCATTGGCAACAGAAATGACTATAGCAGACTGGTAAGCAAAGAAAAAAAAAAAAGAAACATCTCACATCTGATACACAGAAACACAACCTTTCTGCAAAGGTTCATCCTGCAACATGATTGCTAAAACTCAACATAAGTGATCCCACAGGCTGCAAAACCATAACAATAAGCCTGTTGATAATCAGGAATGCCATTTTTCATGACTGTTTGACTGGCGTTATGACCATCTAATGGTTTTTAACGTAAGAAGCAAATCTTTGGAGAAACAAATCAATTTTTCACAAGTTCTGCCTACCTGTGGGTTCAGATTAGGATGAAGCAACACGTATCCATTTGGATCGATGGCAAAGTAGTAGCCATTTGGACCAAACTAGAAGAAAAAAAGAACAGAGGAGCAAATGTCTGTGTGAAAGAGGACTGCAACTAATAATCAAATGTAATATCTACCCTATTAATACACAGGATCTGTGTGTCTTTATTTGTGTTGTCCTTACAGTGTACTGAGGAGTCAGTCTCCTGATATCATCCAGGGACACATCTATCGCCATAACCCCCAAGATAAGCTGGTTTTGAGGTTTCTAAGAGAAAGCCATAAGAAAGAACAGTTAAAAAAAATCACTGCAAGAACTCCTACTTTATATCCTGCTGCTCTTTTTGGATGAGTCAAGTCCCTTTGTGCATTCTGAACAATTTCAAGGAAATGGGGTGCAACAGAAATCTGGACAGTTTAATTCCCAATAGTGTCACGTGTTGCAATGAGTCACTGACAAGGCATTTCCAGGCTTGTTTTCAGTCACAGTGGAGGTAAGCCCGAGTCCTTCGAGGTAGACATGTGACCTCATCTTGAAGCACTTAGCTACCGGATCATTTCTCACTCTGATCTGCAGTTTTGATCTCATTTTGATTTCTGTTTTACGACATGCTAGATTCTCTTCTTGTGGCGAGCTTCGGGGGACCACCGCATCAACAGAGGATGTAAGTTAGAGCCACAAGAGAGCAGAGGATAAAAGTAAAGGATGAGACTGTAATTGTATGTTTACTTTTTGGTCTGGTAAACTTTATGGAGTATCCAAAAACCACAGACTTAAATCCTCTCATGGGGTCAAAGTGTCAGGCATACAGTACATTTATTTTGTGAGTCAAATGCAACAAAGAAGGATGTAAAAGAACACAGAATGAATAAGTTAAGGCACAAAACAAAAGCAGGCGAGAATGATTTAAGTGATTTTTAAAAAATGGTAACATAGGAGTCCAACAGTGGTTCTGGATACCTTTGAGCCTATGCCGGTTTTGTTGAAGACAGGCAGCGTTCCAGTGATCACCAGGCCAAGCTCCTGCAAGGTTAAACAGGCACAGTTTAAACACAAGTCGCTCCCAGGTGTAAACAAAAGCAATCTCATAATTCTAATCTCAGGTTCACACCATGATATGCTTTACATACAGGAAATTTATTGGTGCTAGTGGTTAACACATAAGCCAAAGAAGTAAACAGGAAAAGCAGTCGGCATAAAAAATAAAATCTCTCAAATCAAACATGTGGAGGTACCCACTGTGGTGACCCCTTTTGATTAAAGGAGTAGGTCAAGGTAGACTTTAATCATGCTAAACGGCATGTCTCACCAATCTCACTGATGTTTGCTGTATGTCTGGGGGCATACCTTTACAACCACATTGACTGTTGTGTCAGGTGTTCAAATGAAACCCAGCTTATTTGATTTTAGATTAAGGTAATTTGGAATTGTATTTACACCTACACAAAAATCAGACACAATATGAGAGACAGAAACAGATGCTCTCAGAAGATTAATGCTTAGTGGTGTCTAACGCAGTCTTAGCATATGATATCAATGCCTTACTGCACGTCATTTTCTGTTTTTGTGCAATTTTGTAACTTGTATGTCAATTTTGTATGCATTTTATATGATCCCTTTTTTTATACTGCTTTAATGACTAGATGTCAGATAAAATCCAGGATGTCTCCAGTAATAAAAGACAGATATTTCCAGCGCTGACATGAGGTCAATACTGTTCCAAACACTGACAGTATCCAAACCAGTTGGCTGACTTTATCAGTATTCTTATCTGAATTTCAACTGGGAAGTAAATCTTAATGACTTAACGACCATGATCTTCTTTATTTTATTATATTTTCTTTTTTAGCAAATAATGTTTCGCAAACACTACTTCAGCAGAGTTCGGCTGAGCAGGATGACACCACCATGTTTAGTATAACTAAATAAAACGTACTTATCTGAAATTCTTCAGAAGACATAAAACAGATTTCTTCTAATTCCAGAGCTCTACACAAGCACAGAGTCTCTGCTTCCACACTCTTTCAATGTAATGCAATGCATTTTGGTTACAACACTTAACATACCAAAGCATCCAGGTAGACGTTAGTCCACTGAACCTGCTTGGCCTTTTGTTTAGCTTTAACCATAGGCCTGCCCAGAACATCCAGGTACTCCTGCCAAGAGGATGAAGGGAAGAATATTACTTTTGAACCTGCACACGAGGCATTCTACCACAAGAGGGCACAGCACACAAGTGGTTAAGTAAGTGAGGTGGGACTTTGACATGAAAGACAGTGCAGAAATACTGCATGAGCGTGACTGAATGTGTATTTACCTGAGTATTTAGCCGAATGGCACCTATAGATGGGATCTCATAGTAATAACCTAAGGAAGAAAAATATTTTTTAAATTTTATAAACAAAAAACGAACACCCCCCCCCAAGAAAAGAAAAACGTATTGATATTGAACAGCAAAAAAACATGTTAATAATCATCCTCACTCCAGATGCTGTGTAAACGCTAAAATTTACCACTTTATCATCTAGTCTCCACCTGGTCGCAATTACCTACAATTAGCCTCATTGACTAGTACTGGGTTGGACTTTTCCTTCATAACTGCCTTAAATGTTTGTGGCATGGGTTGAAGAAGGAACTGGAAAATGTTTTAAGGCAGACTGACATGATAGCATCGCACAGATGCTGCAGATTTGTCAGCTGCAAAACCATGATGTGACTCATCCATTCCACCTTCCCAGTCCCAAAAGTCCTTTTATTTGAATGATCTGTGGTGATTCCGGAGGCCATCTGAGCTCAATGTCGTGTTCAAGAAACCAGTTTGAGATTATATGAGCTGCTGGAAGCGCCCATCAGAAGATGGGTACACTGGTTACTAGTAATTGATATGATCAACATCAATATGCAGGTAAGTTATGACATTTAAACCATGATCAGCTGATACTAAGGGGCACAAAGTGTGCCAAGAAATGATCCCCCACACCATTAGCAGCTGATACAAGTTAAGGTGGATCCATGCTTATATGTTACTTAAATTCTGACTCTATCATTTGAATAGCAGCAGAAACTGAGACTGATAAAACTCGGCAGCGTTTTTCAAGTCTTCTATTGTCATATTTTGTGAACTATCACATCAGTTCTGTGTTTTTAAACCACAGAACTGCTGCTCTCTGAATATTTTCTCTTTTTCAGATCGTTGTCTGTAAACTGCAGAGATGGCTGCCATAGGTGAGAAGTTTCTTCTGCTCTGTATTTGTATGCACACTTGTGTCCCTCTGCCTGCCTTCTTCCTGCGATCATCATCATGGAACCTTCAGTCACTCACATACCAGGCTGATCAAAAGGTTGGTAGTTAAATTCCTGGCTGCTCCATGCTGCATACCAAATATCCTTGGGCAAGAAAATAACCCAGAGTTGTTCTCCAGCTCATTCATCAGATTATGAATGTAGCGATTGGTAGATAGGTATGTCAAGTATGTTGATTTTCCTGCCATGTGATTTACTGATTAGATATTTGTGTTAAACAGGTGTAGCTAATAAAGGGGGCAGTGAGAGTATGCATTTAAAACCTTGTTGTTACAATAAAAATATGTTATTTACAAAGGTGTTACAATGGTACCTATAGAATACATTTTATACTACAGAGGAAAATTCAGGTGAATGAAACAAACGTGTCACAAGCTCTCTAAACCTCCAACGGACCCTGTAATGTACCTTTATTGTTGCAGGCCATCGACTGTATCGGCGCCTTGTCGTAGTTGTGTTTACCTACTGAAAATGTAAAGACACGCACCTACGAGGAAAAGACGAAGCAATCAAATCAAATATTCTAAAAGGCTCATTCTGGTATTTCACTCTGAACATTGTAAAAGACTTTTTACAGGCTTACGTTTTTTTGTGGGTTTTCAAGTTGAAAGATCTTCTCTGCTCTATCCTCTCCGCCATCAGTGAAAAGCATAATAATCTTGTTACAGTTGGCCCTTGAGTAATTCATCTAACGGAAACAAGGAGATGGAAATAAAACGAACCACTATTTAACCAAGGATAAATAAAAACAGCCAAAAGAAGACGATGAAAAAAGAATTCAACTTGCTGCTACTGTTAAAAAAGATGAAGAGGAATTAAACGGCAGCTCTGATACTAATAAAATCAAACCTGCAATATCTGAAACAACCAGAGGAGGTCGACACATACCCAGTATTCAGGAGAAGCCCACTGGGATTGAGTTGTTAGTGTGTCCTACAGTGTTTGCTGTCATTATTCTTACAATTATTATTGAGCACTGTTTAAGGAACAATAGTGTATAATGCAATTTAACGCAAAAAGCTCAATGCATCAACCAAGTATAACCCTAAACCAGGGGTGTCCAACTCCAGGCCTTGAGTGCCACTGTCCTGCAGGTTTAAACTGATTCAAATGGCTAAATGACCTCCTGAACATGTCTTGAAGTTCTCCAGAGCCCTGGTAATGAACTAATCATTTGATTCAGGTGTGTTAACCCAAGGTGATATCTAAAACCTGCAGGACACCGGCACTCGAGGCCTGGAGTTGCCTACCCCTGCCCTAGACACACGTTACCTGTTTAAGCTGTTCAAAGGCCGTCTCAAAGCCAGCTGTGTAATTGGTGCTGAGATTCGCAGTGATGTTCTCCACAGCGTTTTTCAGTATCTTCTTGTTCCTTACATTAGCCTGCACAAGGTTCCCAAAGCACGACACATTCTTGGCGACATTTTGGAACTGGAGGGAAAAGGTAAGGAGGGATGACGGGAAGTGCAGGGAAGACACTTACACATATTTTCTATTAAATATGTGGCTCCCCCCCCTTCATTGCAGAACCATGTAAAGACGCTTCAACATTCAGGATAAAAAGATTAAAGCGATTCCATTTGAAACAATATACAGTAATTACTGACATATGTCACTTGTGTGAAATGAAATCAGTTTTAATCAAATCTGGACTGACCGAAGGGAGCTATAGGAAAAGAAGAATTGGAAGGAGAGCAGGTAAGGGCATGAAGGAGGTAAAAACAAAACAACAACAAAAGCTTTATTATGAAGGAATTATTTGCTTGAAGCAGAAATCACATTAAAAGGTTAAATTACATTTACACAGATTCACACGTGAAGTATCTTCATGTTAATATTGGTGAATAGTTAATGTGGAGGAACAGATGGAACTCAGTCAATTAATGCACACACCTACCCGCCACGTGCACATGCACACATATAATCACACATACACAGAGCACGGACTTTGGTACATGGCTCATTAATGCCAAACATCTGTTTTGGACTCGAGTGCACCCCTCCAATCATGATCAAGTTCAACACTGGCACAAAAACAAACACTGAAACTTGCGCAAATACGAAAGAGGTGCAAAATAAATTCTGCTTTTTCTGTCATTTCAGCACTTTTATGTAAATCTATAAGTAGAATAGTATGAAAAAGTGTTTGTCCCCTTCCTGATCACCTAGTGTTTTGCATATGTTTCAGATCATCAAACAAATTTTAATATTAGACAAAGATAACCCGAGTAATATAATATAAAATGCAGCTTTTTAAATGATGATTTCATTGATTAGGAAAAAAGGTTCTCCAAACCTGCCTTGTCCTCTGTGAAAAAGTAATTGGCCCTCTTGTTAAATCATGAATTAACTGTGATTAACCACATTTTTTGGAAAGCTGAGTTCAGTTTCACTAAACAATCAAGAAATCACTTAAATAGAACCCGTCTGAAAAAGTTAAGCAGGCTCAAAAAGCAACAAATCCCGCAACGATCTAAAGAAACGCCTGAGAAACAAAGTCACTGATATCTGTCAGTCTGGAAAGGGTTGCAAAGGGTTACAAATGTCTATGGCAGATTCTAAGGCAGTAAACCACACTGAGAGCCATTATACACAAATGGAGACAACTTGGAACAGTGGTGAACCTTCCCAGGATTGGTCGGCCTACCAAAATTACTCCAAAAGCACATCGATGACTCATCCAGGAGGTCACAAAACAACTCAGGACAACATTAACGAGCCGCAGGTTTCACATGTCTCAGTTAAGGTCAGAGTTCATAATCCAACAATAAGAAAGAGACTGGCCAAAAATAGTGAAAACCACTGCTGGCCAAAAGAGCATAGGATCGTCTCACATTTGCCAAAAAACATCTTAAAGATTCCCAAGACATCTGGAAAAATATTCTGTGGACTAACGAGACAAAAGTTAAACTTTTAGGAAGGTCTGAGTCCCGTTATATCTGGCATAAAAGTAACACAGCATTTCAGAAGAGGAACTTCATAACAACAGTAAAATATGGTTGTGGTAGTGTGATGGTTTGGGGTCGTTTTGCCTCAGGACCTGGAAGACATGCTGTCGTCATTGGAACCATGAATTCTGCTGTGTACCAAAACTACTGCTGTCTACTAATGTGGCAATGATGAGTGGGACAAAATTCCTTCACAGTGCTCCAAAAGACTCATCGCTAGTCATTGCGAATGCTTGATTGCAGTTGTTGCTGCTAAGGGTTGTCCAACCAGTTATTAGGTTTAGGGGGCAATCACTTTTTCACACAGGGCCATGTAAGTTTGGATTTTCTTCACCCTTAATAATAAATTAAGAAACGGCACTTTGTGTTTACTTATGCTATCTTTGTCTAATATTTAAATTTGTCTGATGATCTGAAACATTTAAGATTGACAAACATACAAAAAAAACTGGAAATCAGCAAGGGGGCAAACACTTTTTCTCACCACTCTCTCTCTAGCAGAAAACAGGCTTGAACAACATGGAAATAATGGAAATAATAATTCTATTTACGTAGAAACATTTCAATCTGAGACAAAACGGAACAAAAACCAGGCAAATGACAAATTCTGTTATGCTTTTAGAACACTCGAGGCTTGCAGCTTGCAGTATCTGTTTCCAAATATTCAACATGTTGGCAGAAGTTTCAGGGCATATGCTGCCAAGACATTCATCCTCAAAGACACATGCCTACACACATGCACATGTACAAACTTCCTTCATCTAACTAATAATAAAGACCTGAAAATATCATAGAAACAGCAATAAAAAGCCACCAGCCTTGATACCTTGAAAATAAAGAAATAAACTTGTAATTGAACATAAGAAAATTTCAACTTTTTTACAATCTTGTTTCAGTTGACAGAGGTTTGATGGCATTAGGTTATGTACAGCTCTCCTAAGGCCCCACCACAGCACTTCAGTCAGGTTGAGGTCTGGGCTTTGATTGGGGCATTGGAACAGCTTCACTCATATTGACTTGATTCATAATTTTTTTGTGCTGCTGTGGAAAGAATTATTATCCTGTTGCATGATCCAGCTTTGAATACTTTGGTATACAAGGGAGGTCATGGTTGAGTCCTAGACATTAAGATGTCCAAGTCCTGTGGCTGCAAACGAATCCCAAATCATCACCCCTCCATCACCATGCTTGTTTGTTTTTTGCCATACATTATAGCCAAACAGCTCCACTTAATTCTTATCTGTCCAAAAGACAAACTGCTGAAAGATCTGCTTTTATTGAGGTGGTTACACTTGCAGATCAATTATTCAAGAGCATTTGATTAGTGGCTCATGGCTGCTACTTAACCTCTTAAAGCCTAAGGAAGCAGTAAGGGTATATCTAGTTTGTCACAAGACTCCTTTGCAAAATCTCCTTTTTACATGGCATTAAGTAGAAACAACAAATTAAATACATACAGAATAAAGATAATGTTAAACTAGTGACTGACAGATAAAGCACATACAGCATACCAAACAGATGGATGGATGCATTTTAAGATTGTTACTTATTGAATTAACAGGAATTTTCAACTCTAAAATAACTGAGAAGCCTTTGGTTTGCTGGTTTGGTTCCACTTTCCTTCCAGTTATTTAAAAAAAATACTTTCTCCTTTCAAGAAAGCTTTCCGTTAATCTACTAGAAAATTATGAACTATATGAAATAAGAGAGTCCAAGTATAAGGCATACATGTTCCATTATAAATGGTTAGATGGCAACTAGCTGTCAGCCATATAGAATTTGGTCAGAAAGGTGTGTGATGTGAGGCAACACCCTTGGTCGCCATGGCAACATTCTGGGAAAGCCAACTTGAAAAATCGATTAGACTTGCACATATCAAATTTTTAAGCTTCAAAATGCAGTCTACAGTTTACAAACTTCGCTGGATTTGATCAATATACCTATTACACTTGAGCCTTATTTCATTAACTTCAAGGGCCTTTCTACTTAGCTGATATGACAGCCCCAAACCAAATGTTCAGCTGAAACCGCTGGTTTATTAGGGGAAGTGGAAGAAAATGTAATTAATGTTTAATATGGAAAGAAAACTGAAACATAATGGGTATTTCCTACTGTTAGAAGAATGTGAAGGAAAGGCAAAGATAACAATGCGGATAAAGGAGATTTTAGACAGGACCAGAAGACTTCTGTGCCTAAGCAAGTGGAGCAATTCATTCGACTGCAGCAGAGATGCTTGATCCCAGGCAACCAATCTGTAGTATAAATGCTACTCTTATAAACCCAGGTGATTTATGTCCACGCTGAACATAGAACACATTCAAACTTAAGTATGTGATGTGAAACTAAGTACCTGCGTACCTCTTAATGCATGGACTTGTAAGGAAGAAGCTTACATTACATCCAGTCTCTGGTTTGCTTAGTCCAGCTGAAAGCTATCTGGGCCCTATCAGGACAAAATCTTGCCAAAGCTAAACACAAGCTGTGTTTTAGCTGTCCCCACACAGGCATAGAAATGGGTTATCGATCACTCAGAGTTAAATAAAGAAATTCTCTGGTCAAGCTCTGTTATCTTTAATGAATCATCATCATAAACAGCACAGGTAGGTCCCACCTTTGACACCTACAGTAATCACTTCTATCTGAATAACAAACTGTTACAGTCGGAGTTACAATAAGCCAGGCTCAGATACTGAGACACAGTCTGACACTTCACAACTTATATACTAACTTTATAATTCTGCATCTGGATTTATGCCATTTATACAACAACAGACTAATAGAGTTCCACTGTTTGTGTGAAAGACCGATGCTTGAGAAAAACATGGCTCAAATGCTTTCTGGCTGAAACAATCTTTTGCAATTTTCTAGTTACTTTCTTTGGATTTGATTTTGGATATTTTCTCCTTCACACAAAAAGATCTACAGAGAGATGTCTCTAGAGCGCATTCCTCTACATCACAAAAGATATTAGCTCACTACATACACCAAGGGACAGACAAAAACTGCGTTTGAGGGTTGCCTTTAAGTAGCCCTGCCACAAAGGGTCCAAATGAAGTTAGGGTGTTTGCATTTAAGCCCTTATCACAGCTAATATAATTGTCTCTAATATCTCTTTGGGACTACTCAAATTCTTTCAGCTGGGGGACATTATTAGTATAACCCTTTTCAACTGTGTTATTTTTCTTTCCACAAGTAATATCTGTAGGAGGAAGAAAAGCTTTAACTGACCAGGCGATGGAGCTCTAAATGATGATGGATGAATATTTCCCCTATCCCCATGGCAGTAAAGCTTTGATGCCTGAGAGTCCTACCGTATTTCAATTGGGCAGTCGGGCAATTTCCACTACATGCCTCTGATTCAAAGTGAAATAAAAAAGAAAAGAAAAAAAAGCATACTTTGATTCATCAAACTTATCCTATGGCCTTTTGCGGCTCGCCCAAGCTGTGTTTTGTGTTGTCACATATAAAATACTAAATAAATATACACACATACACACACCGTATGTGTCAGATAAATGAGCTTACAAGCATGCATGCATCCACGCACGAATGCAGCCACAATGAAGATCTATCCATGTGTCGTCCATGAAATTACTAGAAAGGCCGCTGCCATGTTTAGACCAATGACTCGATCCAGGCCAAGGCTGCTTAAACAGCCAAGCCACCGCATTAACAAGAAGTCCGCATTCAGATTCATCACTGCGCTTGCCTGGAAATTCATTCATTCATTCATTCTGAACAGACAGATGATGAGATCAAAGCATTAGCTGTGTGAGTACTCACAGAAACCACGTTCACAAAGTCATCATCCGAGAGGGTCTCCAGCATCTTGCTGACAGATATTTTGATGAGTTTGAGCGTGAGCCCCGACACGCTGCCGCTCCTGAAGATCAAAAACGGAAACAAACTTTGTCTTAGTTACGATATCTATCAGAATAATCAAGTATTAGAAATTCATCTTCTATTTTGTAAAAGGGGCAGTAAAATGTTCTTTTAACATAACTTCATGTTTCCAGACAGTGGAAAAATGTCAGTCTTAGTTTTGCTGGATCTCAGTGCAGCATTTGATACAGTTGACCACAACATATTACTCAAACGACGGGAGAACTGGGCAGGTCTTTCAGGAACTGTACTAAACTGGTTCAAAACATACTTAGAGAACAGGAAATACTTTGTATCAATAGGTAACTTCACATCTGAGCAGACAAGTATCACATGTGGAGTTCCCCAAGGTTCCATCTTGGGACCCCTTCTGTTTAACATTTACATGCTCCCACTGGCACAGATTATAAAGAACAACAAAATAAACTATCACAGCTATGCAGATGACACACAAATATATATCACAATGTCACCAGGAGACCGAGGCCCTGTACAGGCTCTTGGTAAATGCATTGAGGAAATTAATGACTGGTTGTGCCACAATTTTCTCCAGCTAAACAAAAACAAAACTGAGGTAATAGTCTTTGATGCCAAAGAAAAACGATTACAGGTCACTAGAGAACTTCAATCTATACATCTAAAAACCACAAACCAGGCGAGAAATCTGGGTGTAGTGACGGATGCAGACCTAAACTTAGAAAAACACATTAAGACAATAACAAAGTCAGCTTACTATAACCTCAAGAATATTTCAAGGATAAAAGATCTGATGTCTCAACAGGACCTGGAAAAACTAGTCCATGCATTCATCTTTAGTAGGCTTGATTACTGTAACAGCATCTTTACAGGTCTACCTAAAAAAATCAGTCAGACAACTACAGCTCATTCAGAACTCTGCTGCTCGAGTCCTCACTAAGACCAAAAAAGTGGACCACATCAGTCCAGCTCTGAGGTCTTTATACTGGCTGCCTGTCCGTCAGAGGATAGACTTTAAAGTTCCGATGCTGGTCTATAAAACTCTGAATGGTTTAGGACCAAAATACATCAGTGACCTCCTGACCCAGTATGAACCTTCCAGATCCCTCAGGTCATCTGGATCCGGTCTTTTATCAATCAGTTCCCAGAGTCAGAACCAGACACGGAGAAGCTGCATTCAGTTTTTATGCTCCTTATATCTGGAACAAACTCCCAGAAAGCCTCAGATCAGCTGAAACACTCAGTTTATTTAAATCCAGGTTGAAGACTCACTTATTCTCAGCTGCATTTGAATAAAGCACCAAATCCACACTTTTAAGCTTAAATTTCAAAACTTATATTTTAACTACTGATTTTATCTACTGTTCTGATTTTATCTACTTTTTTTTAAATCAATTTTAAATCATGCTTTTTATTGTTTTTGTTTTTTAATGTCTTTGTAAAGCACTTTGAATCACCTTGTTGCTGAATTGTGATATATAAATAAACTTGCCTTGCCTTGAAAGACTCTTTTAATGAACCTCTATTCCTTTCACAATAATCTTACGTGCACCAGGCAGCTGAGAAGTCGCAAGGTTTCACAAATATGAATATCTTTGATGACAAACCTGATAACATTTTTTTAACTTTACTACCACCTGTCAGCACTAAGCAGAGATGTCAAACAATGTGACTTTATGTTTGTGTGACATTAAATAAAGTGCATTTGAAATCCTTGAGTCATATCACAATAAATAATTTTCGCACTCTGTAAGTCAACAGAACTTAAATAACTTACACTTTGTTTACGTTTTTAATTGCTGTGAACATTAGGATAAAATGAATAACAAAATATCTGTGTCAGCAATGTCCAACATCTCTTCCCAAAACAAAAATGGAGCCTATAATGTATAAGCAAATAATAAAACTGCTTCTTCTAAGCAACAGACTAAAGGAGGACAGAACTGGAAAAATCAAGGTGGCGTTCATTTAATGTGGTTTTCAATAAAGCATAGTGATGACAGCTTTTAATGAGCCTCATTAATCTTATATGTGCCAATTACCAGAGCTGTGTTAAGAGTTGCAAGTGTACAAATTTAGTTCAGTTCTTCATTCATCATATTTTGCAGTTATTTAGCCCTAGAGCAGGATTATGACCGTCTCTAATAATGAACATTCACCTGAGTGGATAATATCACTTTGGCATCAGAAGCAGTTACACAATTACACGATCTTGATAGTGCTACGCATTTGTTTTAAGGTAATGAAAATGGAGAATCGATAATGCAGAAAAAAAACAATAACAATAATATATATATTTTTTAAAGTTACGCAATAGAGGATTACCTTGAATTGGGAAATCAAAAACATAACATGTGTGTTCCTGGAAAATCCTATGTAGTTCTGTAATATGGAAACTTTAAAGCATAAATCTCAGGAGAAAATAACTGGACTGTGAACATCGAGGTTGCTCAGTTCACTGGCTGCTCTTTCTTTGTCATTGTCACATGCGAGTACATCGCAGCAGCGCCCAGCGGGATGAGGCCAGTCAGAGGGTTAGCATCAGGGCCTTCTGGCACACCAAAGAAAATAAAAGCTGACTGTAATGGATGAATCATAAGGTCGTCACTCACGCATCCACCAGGATCAGCATGTCCTTGGGTGAGGCCGCCCCCTGGATGTACCTGGTGAGTAATAGCAGACACACATACATAGGTTGTGGCTACTAAGCACATACAGATATATATGTGCACAAAGAAGTGGAAAAACACACATGCACAAAGGAACAGTCAGTAACTGTAATGCAGAAAGGCTATTTTTAAAATGCAAAGCACAAAGACAGAGGCACATATTAGTTTTGAGGCTGTACATTTGAAATCTTCTCACATTCACCTTTTGTGAGCAAGAAAGCAAAAACTTACTAACTTACATCAATTGCTTTGCATTTCAAATCAATCTGAACTTTGTAATAGTTAATGACATGTCTGCTCTCATTTCTTTAATAAGCAAACAGTTGGTTGTCTTTGTTAGAGTGCTCAGATGCTAACAGGCTGTCTGAAGCTAATGAAATTTAATAACATGTTTAAAAGTGTACTGGTGGCTTCCAGCCAGATTTTAATAATTTTCAGGCAACTAATTAAGCTTTTGTATTGCTACCCTTTGATCTGCAGTGGCTTAATCATCATAGTCCTCTGATGTGTTTGTTTAAATTAGTTTTGCTTTTGGCAACAGATGTGAATGTGATTGTTTTAAACTATGCGTGCATGCAGATGCTCTTATGACAAACCGTGTAATGAAACATGCAAATACAGTTATTATAATAAATGTTTCACATGACAACTGCTCAAAAACACCAGATAAATATGGAAGCTCGATGACAGTAAGGCACAAAAACCTCACCACACTGAGTAGATGCACCTACCATGGTCGTCTGCGCACATCGTAGAGGTCGATCTTATTCTGGGATTTGCTTAGGTCCATCCATGGGGATGCTGAAATTTTGACAAAAGGAAAAAACATGGTTATTTAGATTTAGACCTTAAAAAAGTACATTTACACCGATAACTGACATTTTCGCTTAATAGGACTTTCTTACCTATAAAATTACATTCCATTTTAAACTTTGCCTCAAGGGGCACACTTTAAAACACATGTCTTCAGAGCCTTTAGCAGACAACTTGTCTGTCACTCTTAAAAACTTCAAAACCGCTTTAGCTAAACCTGTAAAACTGAGTACTAAAACATATATACACTATATGGACAAAAGCACTGAGTCACATTACACCTGCAGGACCTGACGCCTATGGACACTCATGCCATTAAGCTTGTGGTGCACAATTTTTGGGCTGATGCTAATGCCAGAGTAGATTTGAAAATGCATTTACTGAGAAAGCAGAGAATACACCTGTGGTCATGGATGTACCTGGAAAATTTAATAATGTTGATGGGTGAATGTAAAGGGTTAGGGTGAAAACTCCTGAATTCAACAATCAAAAGGTGTTGCCCATTACTTTTGTCTTTACAGTGCATCTTCTTTTTAGTATTGTACACAATCGAAAATGTAAGACTTCCTCAAGTCTTGTCACTGTGACATTGCCAGAGGAGTCTTACTGTGATAAAACAGCAAAGTCTTATAATATTGGTATGTTTTATGCTCCTGGTGCTTGGTCCTTGTGTGACTCTGTCTTTTGCTATGGATTCCCTAATGATAAACTCTTCCTTAGACTACAAAAGAGGATTTGAATGATTCAAAATCAATCTGTGCTTTTACAAAAACTGTGAACTTATTAACATTACCAGAATTTCTGAATTGAGAATATGGACTGCTATTAATTGAAGTCACAATTATGACTAAACTACATGTAATTTGAAAAATTGAGATATATTGCAATATTTCTGTTTGGTTAGCAGTGGTTTCCTTCATGTTGTTTTTCTATTAATACCTTTTTGTTGTTTTTCTTACAGTGGAGGCATGAACAAACATTTTAGCAAGTTGTAGAGATTTCAAAAGCTGTTACCCTTGAGTTTTTTTTATCACTTTTTTCAGTATTGCAGGTTGTGTTTGTGGTGTGATCTTAGCATCATGTCTACTTCAACTGAGAAAAGCATCAGTCCAGTCTGCCATTAGTGGATAATTTGTCCTGTTTCCTACTGATTAAAACCACGGTCTTTTCTAGTCTGTCAACTTATGCAAATGCCTAATTCGTCCTGTAAGATCTCTGTTGAGATAGCACACTGATCTGTTACAGCAGGCTCTGTCAAAACTAAACAGTCTTTGTGTTCCTTTATTTGCAGGAAGGGGCATTAATTGTAACCCACGAGTCCTAGTAGTTTCAGGAGAAATGACGACAACAACACTTCCTATACTCAAGTATTGTATATAAATGCCCAGTGTACATAAAATAAAAGACATAAAAGGTTGTACTTTTATACATTTTTTGCAACTATTGTTTGCAACTGTTAATTTGACATTTAAAATGCCACTATTTATTTTTACAGGAACCAGGAATTTCCTATGTAAAGTATAAAAAAAGAGAAGAAACACTTGCAAGTGCATATGTTTTACAACAATTATTTAATGACTACTTTGCCTATTTCCCATCCCGAGTTGTGCCAGATTTGCATGCATTTGACTGTAAGATGATTTCCCTTTAGTGGAAATTTTGTGTTCCTTTGACTCACCACCAAATAGTCACATAGTTGCAGGTCTAAGCCCCATTGCAAGCTGGGCTGCTTACCTGGGAAGTAACGAGCCAGTCCTGTGGCAGAGCCAAACACTTGCCAGAGGAGAGAGGGATCTTCCTCTTTGTTCTTCCGGAAAACATCCTCCAAGGCTTCTGTCCAGTTTAACTCATTCAGAATGATGGTAGCTGAAAAACACACACACATGGACAAACACATAGAAATAAAGATGAAATGAGTCATACTTGTGCAAAAGTATAAAATCATAAAAATCACACAAGCACAAAATGTCAAGATGTTTCAGAAAGTATTTACTCTCAAAAAAAGCAATTCTGGAAAAAAAACCTCACTTGAAAGTCAGATATACACACACACTTGGATTTGGCAGTATTAGTCTACTGACACTAACGGCAAAGAGGAAGCTTCCTCACTGATGTTCAAAGTGATGTCTGGCTTCTTCAGTGAGATTTATATTTTAGTTTTTTGCTCTAAAAACATTTTCTATAGCGGGGGAGCAAAAAAAGAGGTAAACAAAGACAGGAGAGACATGAAGGTAAAAAAAGGAAAGTATGATTCAATTTGGTATTTCTGGAATAAGAAAAAATCTTCCAGGTACTCACTGACTGGACATGCATTGTTTTGTTTACCTGTTGGTCTACAGAAGCTCACGCTGGCTTAAATCCCAGACAATGTTTTTAGATACAAAGAAATCACAGTCTTCCTGGAAGCGTAGGCTACTTGTTGAAATGACTCATACTTGTGTGGCCTATGCAGATGCCTCCAACAAAGTGAGATTGTTCTAAGAGCAACTGAATTAAAAGAGGAAAAAAACATCAACATAAAAAAGGGGGCAGCCAGGAGATAAAGGCTTTGCTGAGGCAGTCGTGTTAACAGTTAGGCTGTCTGCTAAAATGTAAGAAAGGTTAGAGTGATGTACCTGTAACTCTGAAACTTAATTCTAAACTAAATGAGCATTTTCAGCTTTTATGGAGTCAAATCAGGACATACACAAACTCACATAAAGACACATAATAATGTCAGTTGAAGCAGGCAAAGACGAACTCGGAGGATCTTATAGCAAATCTTATATAAGGTGCTCTATTTGACTCTCTTCAACCTGCCTGCAGTTGCTGGCAGTCTATGAGCCACTTTCCAATTACATATATTTCTATATGTATAAAAAAATCTAGAACTCCTTGCCTTCCTCACAAAAGCCTGTTTTACTCAGCCCTGTAATTCTTTGTACCACAAAGAGGGAGTTTGGGGTACTTTGGTACTATAGTGTAATGTGTGTGTCCCAGTGATAAGTGGCCCTTAATGGATTACTCCTGCTGGTTTCTCCACTACGACTAACAAGAAGTCTCAGGATAAGACGCACTGTTATGCCCTCACGCTGCTCATACTGTACACTGGAATAACAGGGAAAGAGCATCTTTATTATTTCATTCAATTCACTGCCACAGGATACATGATCTGTGCGAATGTCAATACATAATGACAAAATGAATCCCTCACAAAGAGAGCAGCTCCTCGCTCACTACGCATGTTTTTTTCCCTAGCTGCATCTTATACAATTGACAAACTCATTATAGTCTCCTCTAGGAATATGGATGCAGACACACATATCGCAAACAATTGAGCTCACACAACCCACATGGGCAGATTAGGCACCACTGACAAGCCCTTAGCAACAACACTGTAGTATTGCAGGGCTGTGTCCTTTAATCTCAGCTATAGACTGGAACAAATTACAGTAAACAGATCCATCTCAGTGCTGACGTGTCAATAGAAGGCTTGAGGTCAAAAGGGTCAGAGGAAGAAATGAGAAGCATCAAAGCAAAAATGCAAACTCTGGAAAGCTCTATTAGTCAGGTGGAGATACTGAGATTTGCTATCCTGTGGTGTGTTTGCATCCACTGCCATTCACAAGAACTGTATTATGATATAAACTCCTCTCTCCTGTTTAGCTCTCTTGATTATATACAATTTGATCCAGTGAAAACTTTATAAAATGCATAATAAAAGCGCTCTGAGCTCAGAAATTGGTATGGGACTTATTTGTATGCCACCAGACTTTTGCTACACTGGAAAAAACTACCAGTCCTTGTTGTAGATAATTAATTACTGACCGATCAGATAATAATTAATTCAGAAAGGATGCTTTGACAACAACCATGGCAGCCTCATAAATCACACGATTCAAATTCAAACATGGGAGATAAAAAGTGTGAGAGAGTGGGAGATAAAAAAAAATTAATGATTCTTGGTCCAGAGAAGTTATGGGAACTGATTATGGAAAAGATAATTGAAAGTATTCACTTTGTGGTGGGTAGATGCCTCCAATAACACATCAAGCAGGATTCTGGCATAGACTGATGAGTGAGGGTGTTGGCTTCAGGACGAACAGAGAAAGCGACAAGGTGCAATGCCAAGCGATGCCCTGCAGTGTTCCCCTGTCATCAGCTAGCTGGTGGCTCAAACTGCCTATGTGTTTCAAAGTAATTACACATTGGGGACTGATGTGGTGAGAACCTGCAATCATCATATCAGAAGGGGGCCCTCCAGTCCCTGCCACTCACAACTGATTGTGACATAAGCACAAACGCATCCCTTTTGCAGCAATTCACACATCATTGGCATCATCGCTGTGCGAGGCAAAGCAGGATCGGACCCGAAATGCAGGACTCGGGAGCAGGACTAAGATAGAAAGCAGCTTCACTGCTGAGTTTACAGGTCATCAGATAAACAAATGCAGCTACTCAAGATTACTTAAACAGAAGGCAGACAGACTCCAAACAGACGGCTCACCCAGCTAGAGGGGATAAGAGAACGACATGACAGGGAACAGAGGGCAATAGAGGACTTAAATGCACACATGAGCTGGGGGACAGGTGCAAGTGAAGAGATTCAATTAAGAGCAAGAGGGGAAGTAGAGATGGACCGATCCGATATTACCTATCGGTATCGGTCCGATACTGACCTAAATTACTGGATCGGATATCGGAGAAAAATAAAAAATGTAATCCGATCCATTAAATATCACGAAAGCACCTCACAAAACTTGCAACACGCCGTAACTCACCTCAGAACGTTAGCACGTCGGAGCAGTATGCATCACGTGATAGAGCGGCTGTGGCATGCGGGACCTGTCGGTGGTCTGGATAGCATGTGGAGCTTCGCTAGCAACCCGGCATTTCATCTCCGACAAAGTTATCCCCGAGAGAAGTAAAGCAAGTGTGTAAGTCCATCTCTGAATGTTTGTAAAGCATTCCTGCGTTAAGCTTAACAAGCGACTGCCTCTCGCTCTCCGGCTGCTACTTCAATCGTGAAACTGCTTAATGATCAGCTGATCGGCTTTTCTGTCACGAGTCCGTCTCTCTTGTTTGTTTTTGCCCCACTTTGCACCAGAAAGAGGAAACCAGCGGATGAACAACAGCAGCACGTTTAAGCTTGATAAGCTGTTGTTAGAATTTATTTAATATTACTTTCTACTTGAGGATCTTTTTCTATGTAGCTGACGTAACTGTGCAGGGGCGGATCTAGCAAAGTTTAGCCAGGGGGGCCGATAGGGCATGAACAGGGAAAAGGGGGCACAAAGACATACTTTTCTTTCTTACTCTCATTTAAAATGTCGAGCTTTTAATAAATAATTATCTGACACCCAAAGTTTTAATTTGATGTAAAATGAATAGAAGTCAATTACTGTATATAGTGACTATTAAGTCTAATATATATACCCTAGTAAGCTATAGTACTTTTTACTTTGGGATGGTACCATCTGTGCAGTCTGCAATTTTGTTGAAGAAAGATGCTGAATCTATTTAATATTTCTTGAAAAATAATTGATTTCTGTGCATTTTTTTCACACTGCATCAAATTAAGGTTGATTACGTCGATTAAGCATCATGAGGTGGAGCGTGAGGGGTGGTTCCCTATTTTTTATTTATTTATTTTTGTTGTTGCTGGGAGTTGGACCCCTATTAGTTAGGTTGCTTAATATTTACGCTAAGTACTCTTTAAAATACCAGAATAGTGAGGATGGTGTAGGTCTAAGTTTATTAGATTGATCAGTATTGCTGAACTATGAAATATTTTTTTTGTATACAGGTATAACAGAATAGCTTTAGTGTAGTTGTTGTTTTAAACTTGAGTATGAACTTGCAGACTTGCAAAATGCAGCAAGATATTTTAAAAAACAGTTTTGTTGATTAAAAAACACTATATCGGATTAATATCGGTATCGGCAGATATCCAAATTTATGATATCGGTATCGGTATCGGACATAAAAAAGTGGTATCGTGCCATCTCTAAGGGGAAGCAAAACTGAGCACAGCACACAAGACAAGCGGTTGTCAAAATAAAACAAGAAACTGACACTGAGACTAAAACACATGAACCAGAGTACACAGACCAAGGATGAAACTGGACAAACACGGAAAACATAACAGAAACACAGACGAGGCAAGGGGAACCTAGGAGGATAGGAAAAACTTGTGGATAACTAACAAAGAAAACTATGAATACCAATCAAAATGAAAACACAACCTAACCAAAGCAAAGGTAATACTTAGACTGAAAACTACAAAGTTAAATAGGAAACATCAAACACAAAACTCTATTCAAAACAGAAAACTCTGGGTACAAAACCCAGGATGTATTTTTCTTGATAATATAACAATATTGAAGAAGAAACTACACAGAACAACTGAACAATGTACAGTTAATATTAAAGAAGCACACACTGGCCCTGACTTTTCTGACTTCACTGATTGTACCTCTCCAATGACCAATCCTGCTAATCAGTGGCTCCACCCTGTTGCTGCCTCAATTAAATGGAGCATGGATGTCGTGCTCCATCAGTCTAATGTGAGCAGTTTTCTCCTCCTATGCTTCTTGTCATTAAGAGCTCTCTACTACTAAGAGAAATGTTTGTAAACCATAATCTGATTTGTTTTCCACTCTGCCATTATCTCTGATTTAGTTCCATGTAGCCTTACCGGCCACACTACACACAGGCTCACACTTAGTTGTTAAACCAAACTAGAAATAGAGGTGTTCCTCTGTGGTCTGATTTGGGCAGGAAGTTTAACTGTTTTGGTTTACTGGCGTTTTTTTTGTAATTTATGTAGTAAGCTGGTTTCATTCTCTTGGTTTGGCATGTAAAGAAGAAAGCTTTCACAAGGCTCTTTCAGCCCTGTGAAAAATTAAGAACACCCCATGATTTAATAGCTTGTAGAACCCCTTCAAGCACCAATAACTTTCAAGCAATCATTTTCTGTATGGCTTCCATCCATCTCTCACATTGATGTTGAGGAATTTTGTCCCACTCTTTTTAAACACTGACATTTGCAGACATTAATTTATGCACAACTATCTTTAGGTCCCACCACAGCATTTCAATCAGGTTGTGCATACTTTGTAACCGGACTGCACACGTTTGTCACATGACTGTTTCCAATGATTTTTGTTATCCTGTTTTGTCACAGTGCTTTACTTTAGCAGTAAGTAACCCTACTTTAACAACTGGTTTTACTGGTTATTTGCTGCTCTTGTGTACCATCTCTGAGCTGCGACGCCACAGCCACTCCATATGATTTGTAAAGATCCTGCTGATTGTGTTGATAAACTTACTCCATTCTAATCTATTTAGCTGTGATGCTTGAATCAAAGAACTGGCCAGACTATCTCCATCTTGTCCTTGCCATTGCAATCAGATGACGTGATCAAAGAAAGAGACAAAAAAAGAAAATGACTGTGCATAAGTCTCACTTCGAATCCAGTGGATGAGTTTTGAAAAAGATGGTGGTTTGTGGACCAGATGGATAACACACTTGAGTAAATACTAAGTAAAATTACTCTCTGTACACATTACATTTATGTATAAGCATAACCTGACCTGGGACCACAGATACAAGAAAGATGGAATCTGCAGGAAAAACATTTTGAGATTGTGAAGAAAGAAACCCCCACACACCAATGTCTGTCTCCTTGTTTTCTTAGGAGTTTTCAAGAAAAGGTGAAATGGGATTAAAAGAAAGAAACTTTCTCAGTTTGGCTACTCATTTGGGGGAGAATCCAAAAGGTATGCTCCTATCAGCTGATTAAAAAAAAAAATCACAGGAAGGCATCCAACTTGTCGCAAGGACACAATTTAAAGCTGCACTAATGTAATGACTGTGAGATGGGAAGAAAGATGAAGGAAGGATACGCACACAGAGATAGACAGAGATGAAAATGAAGATACCTCAAAGTTTGGCTGCCAGCATCGTAAATAAATTAGGACGTGCATCAAGTGGCACAAGAGTGCAAAAAGAAAAGAAAATCAGTTCATGTGCTGTGAGCTTTGCCAAAGGGGCTGTAACTATAACACACACACACGCAAACACGGTGTCACAGTATCCCAGCATGTCAGAGAGTTTGTGTGTCTGGGGCTGACAGGTGCCACACAGTGTTGATGCAAACGGGCATCAGACGAGCCTCGGATCTCCTGCCAAGGCCGCAATGCTCTCTTCTCATCTCTTCTCATCGCATTCATGCCAGTCTGCTTAATGAGAGAGGAGACATGCATACACATGATCCATATACAGTAGAGTAGGTGCATATGATGTGACACACACACATATGCACACAGCCCTCACACCCAAAGTGTTTCTTCCTCTCTTTCTCCTTACGACACACACACACACACACACACACACACACACACACACACACCACACACACACACACACACACACACACACACACACACACACACAAACCTAGCCTTTTCTGGTAAGCATGCACACACACACACACGTAAACATGATAATGAATCCCAGTCTGACCACCCACATTGGAGCAGTGGGTGGAATGGATACCAATCAGTAAGACTAATGCAGAGGAGAAAGACGGTAGCGCATTTGTCTCCTCACAGCACACTATTAATATGCCTAATATAATAGAGCGAGGGATGGGGAAGAGAGGATAGAGTGATAGAGGGTGGGGTGAAGGGAATGAGAGCAAAGTACTGAGGAAGACAGAAAAAAACAGAGCTAAGAAGGTACACACAAAGGCATGAAAAAGGAACTAAAGCATAAAGTAAAGAGAAAGGAAAAAGAAAAAGAGGAAGTGATGGGAAGATGTAGCGGTTGTGGAGAAAGTCTACTGCAATTAAAGGGTCGGATGATGCATCGCTCCTTTAGCATCAGTATAGCCACAAGGACGCCAGCCTTGTCTAGACAAAGTCCCCTAATCAAGTTACCAATCCTTCCTCCATACAACGAGATAGAACATCGGGGCGTGGCTAAGTGTGTGTGTCTCCTCCTACACACACACGCACACCCAAAGACACACAGATATTGCCATAGCAACGCTGACAGTACTACCCAGAAGGAGAGGCAGCAATGTGGCAGCCTGTCCTTGGAGATAGAAAGCAACAGCACTAGCACAGCTTTATTACTGCGCTAACAGGGACTCTGCCCAGACCCCACCCTCCATCTCCTGCTCCTATAATGGTAAAAGTTATTTTTTTTAGCTGTATTTTACTGAAAATCGCTGAAAATATTACCTTAAATGCAATCGGTAACGCAGTCTATTAGGTCAGGTTTTTAATTTAGAAACGAAAATTAACATTCACAGATTTGTACTTTTCCTCACCAGTTCTTTGCTGGTGTTAGTAACAACAACAGTGTGGAGTCAGTTCTATCTCAATTGAGAACCAGCCCACAATTCAACAGGTTTAAGGGCCATTGATTATGTAATACAATAAGCAGAGTTAGCAGAGTAGCTTTCAAGTCACACTAACATTAACATGAAAGTAATTTAGGGTTTTATGGTCCCGCTAGAAATAGACAGAAGGACAGACGCCCATGAATACTGTAATGAAGCAAAAAACAGTTGAACGAATCACACTAAGAACAATCCCCTCCTACCACGCAGGCCCCCTACCCTTCTCTGTCCTTTCAGCGTCATAACTGCGGCTTGTAAAAATAACTGAGTGCATTTGCCCATTTGGCTATGACAAAAATGTCTGCACAGTCAGAGGCCCGTCACTGTGCACATTTATAGTCCAATATGTTGACTGACTCGCTGTATAAGGGCATTAAAGTCATGTGACTAAGTCCACCGAATTTAGCCACGGGCCCACAGAGAAGATCATCACTGGAATTGATAATGAATGTTTCTGCACCAACGCCTGGATTAGAAAAAGTTAGTTAAATGTTCTGATAAATGTTACTATCATGTGTAGTTTAATGTAGTTTGTAATGAAGTTGTGACACATTACTGTAACGTGATATGTTAAGCTGCAGTCAGTGATGAAGTGTGACTATGAAAAGCTTTTCTAAAGCTTGAACTGAAATAGTAGAGTTCATTCAGATTATTATGGTGAGGCAATTATGACCTTTAATTCACTGTTAGTTTCTCAAATTACAAGCTTCCTTTTATGTTGTCTGCCCTCTTAATTCTAAATGTCCTAATATAGTATATAGTTTCTATATCGCATATAATCTATATGCATGCATATCTACCAGCAAGGACATTTAATGCAAGTATTTCTATGCACATGTACGTACAGGCGTGCTTATAGCTATATATTTGTGTGAACCAGTGTCCAGTCATTATACTCACACGGTAGATGCCCATTTTGTATTTGACACTGTAAGGTCCTAGTAGATCAAACGTCAGTTATATAGCTCTGAAAAAGTTTATAGCTAAACTTGTTACATTTAATTACAGCAAGCTAAATTTAGTATGATCAATGACCCGACCATTCTGTTTTTCGACTCTGTGCTGGGGGCTTCAAATTGGCCTGGGTAATCCTCTGGTGCACTTTTGAAGAAAGAATTCAAGTGTTTTGCAAATTTTGCAAAAATAGTGCCATGATTCGTCATGTAGAACGGCCACAATAAAATGACGTACAAGCAGAGTGCAACGGCCAGCGCAGCACAAAATTTGGGGCCTTCGCTCTAGGCAGCGCATGCCGCGTCCTATGGGAAAGGGCCTTTAATCCGACGAATGATAAGAAGTGTGCTTTTGCATAGGCACACTTAATAATTCTATGGTGTGAACATTAGAGTAAATAAAGACCCTTGGACAAAGATACTAAAAGATTACTGATAAACATGGTCAAATAGCTGTGAACAGCTTCAGGCAAATACAAAGCATCCTGCCAAAGGCCAATATACAGACCTTCTATGCAACTGTTGAGAGGTCAGTGGGGCCATCGTGGACATGAGGGAAAGGAGCAGCTGGTGACCAGGGTAAAGTGGGAGCTACAGACTGCTGACCACTGGGAGGATGGCATTTGGGTTATATATAGACTGGAATGGTTTAGCCTTAACGTGGAACTGTCTACACAGTGCAGACAGCACTGGAAGGCTGAGGTCACATCCTGAGTACTGTAAATAGTACATATTGTGACGAAAGGTAAAGAGAGAGAGAAAGCGTGTGTGTTTTTTTTAACTTACACCCTTCATATATATCCGTTGGGATGTGGACGGCAGTTGTGTTGTAGGAGACGTCTCGTTTGAAGTCTGGGTCAAAACTGAAATCCTCGGGAATGTATGGGATCCTCTTCTTCTCCTTTCCATCTTTCTTCCCTTCTGTATCTGACTCGCTTTCTATCCCACTAAGCTACACATGAAAATAAAGAAGAATAGCAGAATTTGATATTTTAAAATCGCATGGAAAACATTTTTGGCTTTATGTGTGTACACTGTAAAATTACTGCATAGTACGTGTAGTATCTTCATGTAATGGATAATGTATGCTAAATGTTATGCAGTGATAGATAAATGCCAGTATCTAGATAGAAGTAGATAGAAAGGGGAGAGTCAAACAGAGAGTGACATTAGTGTGCAGTGGGTGTGTGGTTGTTTCCCACTGGGGCTGTGGAGAGGAATTAGATGTCGAAATCTGTTTATCAAAGCAGACAAATGATGTCCAAGGCCAGGAGAGGCATTAAATGCGTGATGCACTAAACATGAACTGGCCCTAATCCATAAAAAAAAAACCCTGTCTCATAAACACAAGTCAAATATTAGTACAAGCACAAAACAGCTTTTGTGGCATGCACAAATTTGTACTAACAGAGATTTATTTGCATAAATTTTAAAGTGTTACAGTTCTTAAAGGCTACAATGAAAACTCAAATCAGTTTTTCCCCATTGTAACAATGCAACAATGCTGCTTGATGTGGATGGCTTGTAGGATTTTACTGGAGAATTGGCATCACATCAAATTGCTCAAGTTGTACTTACGCCGTCTTTGGCATTGTAGTAATTGATTTTCTCGACCTGCAAAAACACCAAAACAGGAAAATATCAATAACGCATGACAAGAAATACACAAACTCTTACACAAACAAAGCATCTAATGCTGGTCCAAATCTTAAAGGTGTTTTACCAAGATTACCCTCACAGATGGCCATGCTTAAAAGGGTGTGGTGTTTCCTTATTGCTCCCAGTCTTGCCACATTGTGCACTACCTGGAGTACACACTGGTATATGTCAGTGCAGTGTAAAACTAAGTGTACAAGCAGCTAACAAGTTGACCTGTCACTGACAGCAGCAGAAAGTATGTATTTCAGTGACCAAAACAGAAAAGGTTTATCATCAGGAGAGCATGAATGTCCTAATTCTACACGTAGCACGAAGAGCGAAAGATTTCAATTAAAAAATTAAGGTTCCTATCCTAATTCCTGTTACCACTGGGATTCCATTCTGCAACGATGGGTCACTGGAGGCTAATCACCAAATAGCTTAATAAAATTCTGTATCTCAATAAATCATGTTCAACCTCAAAAGAAAAAAGAAAAGAAAAGAAAAGAAACAGAAAGCAGATGAACAAAACTTTAAAAAAAAAATGCTAAAGCTAGTCTCAAAAACCATAACAGGGCATCTGAATCTCTCAGTTTAACATTGCACCTGCTACTTTTCCCTGCAATCCAAGTGAGTTTGCGTCTGATACTGAGCAGCAGTGAAGTAAGTGGTGTTGTTTTGCTCTTACACTGCTGGGCTTGCTGTCGGTACATGGGCTAGCAGAGTGATAACAAGCTAGCCTAGCTGTTGACGTAAGAATGCCCCGGAGCCACAGAGATGGTTCACTGATTCCAACCACCTGCATACCACCTCTGAAGTGGCACGCCAACAGGACAGCAACTGCTCCTGCCACTAACACTGCTGTGTTAGCTTAAAGAGTTTGTAATTATCTCACACACAAGTGATTTAGCAGGGCAAACTGTGCCAAACACAAACATCTGCTCTCCATTTTTCTGCTTTGACTGCTCCAATATACCAGAAAACTTATGAGATCAACTATATATGCAATGTGTGCCACAACACACCCATACACACAAGTTAATAACAGCAGACTGTCTCATGATGTTTTGTGTCAGGTGACGTTAGTGCAGACAATTTGCACATTAAGGTCACACCATCATACCTCCCAAAGGAGAAAACTGTGTGCAAGAACACTTAATGTGTGAGACAGGCAAAGGAGATGAAGGGAGCGTAAGAACCAAAAAGTGAATACATACATAACAAACGTGTATGTTGTGTGTATGATCTATCTTATCTGAATATGCATATGCTTATTAATGTATTGCATCTCATTTCACACAGGTACGCCTGCAGTTCATTTTTACATTTTTAAACACCAAATGACTCATTTAATGTGCTATCCACTTAGAAAAAACTTGAACATCATCTGTTCCCACCAGTTATGGTGCTTTCCATCACTACTTTCTGTCAACAGTCATAAAAGGCGACCTTTGTTTTCTCAGGTAGGTCGTAAAGCATTATATTTACATTTTAAGCAGCATAACATTTGGGACTTTAATCCTACTCTTACATGAAGTATATCAATGCGATAAGTGAATACCAAATGCAAACACAAACAACAGCAAAAGGATTAAAAATGATTATGATGCACTGACACATGCAAATGTGCTGTTCTTACTGCAGCTGGCACTGGCTTTCAAGTGTCAGCAGGAAGAGGTGTCCAGCATTACTGACCCAGTTATCAAAGGTGACAGACAGAGAAGACACAGGCACATACACACACAAACATACACCACTCACAATGCTCCACTTGCTATTTCAATAAATGTACTATTATCACATTAAGATGATATTTTTCATGTCTTAGTATGGTGGCAACAGTCATGGTAAAAGTACACTCTCTGTCAATTCTTTGCGCATCAGGACATATCGCACCATGTCATCATTTATTTAACAAAAATTAAGTAAAAAAGACAAAATGCAGAAGCAGTGTGTAAAAAGAATACACCTGGTCTGGAACATTTAGGTGTGTTATTGTAACAAAATGCCAAGAAGAAGCCATGAAGACATTTGCTTATAATGCACAGCACCTTGTTTGGTGAGAACCAAAGCTCATCAGCACAAACAGCTCATACCGACTGCCAAGCACGGGTGATGATTTGGGCAGTCACTAAGTCAACCATGAACTCCTCAGCATACCAAACTATTTCAGAGTCAAATGGCAATCTGTCCAGTGGCTTAAAGCTCGGCAGGACAATGATCCCAAGCAAAAGAATGGCTGAAAAACAAAAGAATCAAGGTGTTGCAATAGCCCAGTCAAAGCACAGACCTCATCTCATTTTAAAATGTTGGGACCTTAACAGAGTTGTGAATACATCTATGCCCACAAACCTCAATGAACTGAAGCAAACTTGTGATGAAGAGTAGACCAAAACTCCTCCACACAAAGTCATACAAAAAACGATTAATTTATAGCTTTAGCAACTTTAGCTGCTAATGCTAAAACTGCTAAAGTAGCTCTTAGCATCTATTGTGTATTTGGTGTTTCCACAGGATTCCTCTGCATTTTGGCTTCGTTTTTGTTAAATAGATAACAGCATGGTGTATTATGTGTTTTTGTTATGTTACTGGACTTGGTATAGACAAGATCATTTTTATTATGTCCTGAAAGGCACAAATCATAGAATTGACAGACAACTGACTGATTATACAATATGAAAACACACATCCTAAGTTATACTTTATAGTAATATTACAAATAATAGTCTTACTGAGTCCAAAGGGAAGACATGAATGATATACACAGAATCTGGACAGAGTATTATATTAACCTCTTGTTAATGCTAAAGAATCCTAAACACAGACAAGTACACTAAAGAGCCACAGGTTCACATAGGGATAAGCTGTTTCAGTTGAATTGGGCTGAGGTGTATGAAACTATCACCTTTTGTTTACCGCATAACAATTGCAATGCATGATGTTTGTACAGTGAATACATTTAGATGCAATAAACTCTGCATGACTCTTAGCTTTGGTTAATTTGTTCAAGAATCCCTGTCACATTATCTCCAGAATAATTACATTTGCTAGCCAAACATAAAGGGCGAAAAGGATATCGAACTCAGTGAGTAATATAATAAATAAATCAAAACCCAGAGATCCATATCTCGCTGTCTATTTTCAAAGCACAAGAAAGTATGCACGGCATTGAATAATCTTTAAATATAATGTTGAATAATGTTTAAGCTGATTTTTCCTCCAAATCTCCCCCACTATAAAACGTACAAAGGTCATTTTTTATGTGTAAATCGGCTGGAGGAGATAAAATTTATCATTTCCGTTTATTATGAAAAAGTTAGATCTAAAACACTGGGCTTGCTTTCAGGCAAAGCAATTCAATGAGTAAACATTCTTCTTATTATATGCTGTAAGTAATACTAAGATTACTGGAGAGCAATCGCTGTGTGCGTGTGAGTGTGCACCTATTCATCATAACTACCTTGGTAGTTTCCGGTAGTTTACACAAACTCTTACACAAACAAAGCATCTAATGCTGGTCCAAATCTTAAAGGTGTTTTACCAAGATTACCCTCACAGATGG